GCGTGTGTGCTCCCGGGAGCGGCAGGGTCCCGTGTGTGCTCCCGGGAGCGGCAGGGTCCCGTGTGTGTCCCCGGGAGCGGCAGGGTCCCGTGTGTGCCCGCGTGGGGGGGCGCACAGCCGCGCGTGTGTGTGTATCTGGGACGCGGCGCGGGATGTGCGTGCAGGAACGCGGGTGGCAGCAGTGCCAGCAGGCGCGTGGTGCCTGGGCAGCAGTAGGGATGGGCAGCGGATGCTCCTGGAGAGCTCATGTCCTGCCTGGGAGTGTGTGCACAGCCAGGGCACAGGTGTGGGGCTACCTGGGGGCGAGCAGGGAGTGAACAAACCCCTCGTCAGTGGGATCACCGCTTGCAGAGCATGACACTGCCCCCGGCTCGGTCTCTCGTGAGAGGAAGCACACATTGGGTCGGGCTATCGGAGCCATCAACCACCCGAGGCCAGCAGATCGCTCTACTCCATGCCCTGGGAAGGAGTCTTGGTCACTGAGGGGGCAATGAGGGCCAAGGATGTGTACCCTCAGTAGCTGGTGCTCTGTCCCACAGCAGCTGCCAGGCCTCTGATTCACAAGCCTTGAGCTTAAGGGTGAAACCACCCCGCCCTAACGTCACGCTGCCACCATGCTCTGCAGCTTGCTGCTCTGGGATCCTGTCTCCTTCCTGGAAGTCATCTGCATCCCCTCTTCTAGGTGCTGAACAGAAATATCCTTATTTATCTCTTTATTCCTGATGGTGAGGCCCTGTGCCTGTGCATGGCTGGTGGTGAGCATGGTGACCTCGGCTGCAGGGTCTTCGTATGTGCTTCAGGCCTGGCTTTTCTTAGCATTGTTAGCATTTATGAGCAGCAGAGGCTGTTTCCTAGAGCTGTTTTGATGGCAAGTCCTGTTTACTTCATGTTTTCACATGTGCATTGGTTTTGCCCTGGTGCTCACAAGCGCGGGGTGAATGTTGGATGGAAATTGAAGTGTTGGCTGGGGAGGAAGGAGCAGCTGAAACTTGATATGGGAAAGAAGGATTCCTTATCTGAGGGGCTCAGCCATTCCTGCCTGCCATATCAGCTGGGAAAATGCCACCGGTGCTTTTAAAGCTATAGCACAGGTTTGGGGTGCCTTCTGATTTGCACTGTTTGAGCTGTTCTCCCTTTTTACTAATGCTTCAGGCACAGCAGGTTCCAAAAGGTAAAAGGAATTGACTTGCATTCACTGCTTGGTCTTTCCAGGCTCATCTTTGTGTGTTTTCTTGCATTTGCAAGCACAAGTCATGCACTGCCAGACTCTGCCTTCGTGAGACTAATAGGGCTGGGGTGGTGCCACGCTCAGCACTCCCCCAGGGACATGGAGGGCATCACCCCCCACCTGTGCTGGCTCATGCAGGTGCCTGCTTGTTCTCCTGGCTGGCACAGGGAGGATCCTGCATGGGCCTTACGCTGCCTTGTCCTTTGTGTGAGGCGCTCAGCATTTTTATTCCCAGTGAGGTGCCATTTCACACTGGATTGTGGCAGTTACTGATTGTGATAAGGTAGAGATGACTGGATCCATCTTCCTGTGGATTACAGAAAATGCAGAAGCAAAAGTTATTTTGCTGAAGTCCATCCTGCCAGCACAGGAGAGGAAAATGAGGATCTTGTGCTGGATTTTTCCTCCTAGCAGCAGGTCTGAAATGTATCAAGTGGCAGGGTTGTAATGCCAGTGTCGAGAAAGGACGTTGTCCTTGGAGGCAAGAGGGTTAGTGTTGTCCTGCTGGGCAGAGAGCAGGGCTCTTGGGGTGGTGCAGAGAACACAGCAGTCCTAGGGGGAGCAGATGGGCCAATGGTCAGCTGGGCAGATTAGCAAAGAGCTGCCACCTTTGTCTCTGGCACCAACAAGACAGAGGAGAGGGTTGCTAAAGGGAACCTGTGCTGTGAGCAGTGGAAGGATGTGAGCAGCTGCTCTCCGGGAGATGGGCTGCTGTGGGGATCTGCTCTGCCTGTCCCTGCCTCTGGCTGCCTGTGTGCTTGTCACAGGCAGGTCCTGGGCAGATTGAAGTCAAATGGACAGTACCCTGGGTCTACAGATTGTGGTCATCTGCTTGTGAGAGACTTAGCCAGATGAGCAGGTAAAGCTATCTGCCATGGGAAGGTTGAAAAACACCTTTAATCCCTATTTTCTTCCCTTATCCTTTGCCAGTGCAGAGAAAAATGCATCAGCAAGCAGCACTTCTGGGCTTTGTTTGCTGGGGGCACCTTTTCTGGTTGTGCCCCCATTTTATATCAGTAGCAGCTTTTAGTATGGATGCAAGTTACCCTGCATGCCCCTTTTCCAGCCAGCCCACTCAGCTATTCCTGCCCATCCCTGCTAGGCTGGCAGAGCTCTTCTGGCTTCCTCTGCCTCGTCAGCCACTCCCCGCGACTGCAGATGAATTGCACGAAGCCTGGCTTTCTTTAATCCCTTTTCCCAGCAGTGCTGAGCCTGCCGGAGGAGGAGCAAGGCGGGGGAGTCCAGAAAAGGGGCTGCTGGTTGTCTGGGAGATCTGGGGACAACGAGGCGGGAGCAGGCTCTGCGCAGGGCAGGTTACGTGGCATCTTTGGTTTCTGCAGGAGGAATTGACAGCCAGCACAGGAATGAGTGTCCTTGGAGATTTGTCAGAAGTCCCTCTATAACCTCAGCATCCTTAGCCCAACCTCTTTAGTGTGCTAAGAAGGATCAAGAGAGTCTTCCAGGTGGAGGTCAGGATTCAAGCAGCCATTGCTTGGTGCCTCCTGCAGAGCACAGGAGATACACAGCAGATGATGCTTGCAAGAAAGATGAGCTTCATTTTTATTTTTAATTTTTGAACACTGGCTACCTGTATGATTCTGTTTCGGAAAGTAATCAGGGTTTGGTTTTATTTTAAATGAAGAAGTCAGCAGCATGGCTCCCTCCCTTTGCTGTGAGTCACGTTTGCTGACTTGGACTGAGAGAAGTTCATACCCTTGCTGGCATGGAGGGGCTGAGAAAGCCTTGGAAGAGCAAGCAGCATTCCCTGTTGTCAGCAGTGTCAGCATTAAACCATTTTTTGCTACGAGGCTGGATTCTGTCTTCTATCACTCCAGTGCAAAAGGTTCAGTTATGTTTGGGACAGTTCCTGATGGCAGGTTGATGTTGCTGTGCTTGAAGATGGAGTTTGTTGTGGAAAAGAAAGGAGACCCAGTGCCAGGTTTGTGGAGCTGGTGATTAAAATTGGAGGCTGGATCAGAGGTTGTCTTTAAGGGAGGAGAGGGATGCAGCTGAGATCTCACTGCTGCTCCATGCTCCTGCAAACACCCTTGGCCCTTCTGGCTGGGGGAACCAAGCTCTGCTAGATCAGGGGAGCAGAATCATGTGTGGTTCTTGCAGGGGAAGCTCTGCTCTTGTTCTGGGGGTATTACTCACTTTGCTCTTATTGTAAATTGGGGTGTTTTCATGATGTAATATGAATTGGCCTTACCCCATGCCAGGCTTTCTATAGCACTAGCAAAGGAAAGTTCTCCTTATTCAGATCTTAGTAATCCTCTGAACACCAGCAGAAAAGGGAATTTGGGCTTTCTCCGTCCCTCCTAGCAGCTGAAACCCAGGCTCTGTCAGTGGGAGGGGAGCAAACCCTGCTGCTAATTCAGGGTCGCCCCAGAGTCCAGTCAAAGCTGGAATGTGGTTAGCTGTGGTCTCTCAATTTCCCTGGCATCTGCAGCCAACTGTATGGATTGTCATTTCTTCAGCCTTGTGTCGCTGTATGTTTTTTAGCAGAAATGCCAGAAACAGCTGTGGTTTGGGTATCAGAAAGGTCTTAGGTCTTGTGTGTTCAACTTGTGAACTGCTTTGGGCCAGCAAGTCCCATAGGATACTTACTGTCCTACCAGGATTTAATTCACTTTTGGTGGGTTCAAGATCACCTCTGCAAAGGTGCTTTAATTATGTGGCTTATTTTCTATGTGGTTCTGTGTTCAATGTTTTAACATTTTGAGATTACTTTGTTCAAGGATTGCTTACCCTTAGTTTCTCCGTGCTAGGAAAGAGCCATGGTTCCTGGTTTCCTGCCTCTTAAGATGCACAAGTTCTTTAATGAGACCATTCATTTGGAAAGGCATATCTCTGCATGTGCTACCCTCACATCCTTGTGTGCATCACCTGCTTTTTATAGCATGAAATAACATGGGAGGGAGTTCCCCTGACTCACTGACTTGGAATATCAGTGGTGTGGCTGAGCTTTCACTTGCATTTCCAAACTCTGAGTGTTAGAGGTATCTTAGGGAGGAGTTGCTGATGTTTTGAGCTCAGTGCTGCAGGTGCTCTTTGACCAGGCACTGCTGATTCCTCTCTGGGCATCCACAGACAAAGAACATCTGCATCACTCAGGGCAGAGATGGGAAAAGCCCATAAATTCAGCAGAGCTGGATAATTTCTGTGTGTCTCCCCAAGCTGTATCTCCTTTAGGAAGCTGCCTTTGATTCATATCTGTGCATTTTTTTTCAGTCTCTTCTGAGATAAAGCCCTGTGCCTATTAGTCTAAGTACAGCATAAATGCACACATGGTGCCACATGCACTGCAGGTCTGGTTTAGAGCTCTAGTGCTGTCAGGCTGACATGCTTTGCTGGTGGAATGGGTTGGCTTCTGTGTGGTTTAAACTTAGGAGGGCATTGAAGGTGGTGATGTTTCCCTCATGAGAAAGGGAAGTGGATGGGGAGCTTGAAATAGAGCCAATAATTAATGATCTGCTTGTTCAACTAATCAGTTTGGCAGTAGTGAGCAAGTCTCAAAAAGAGAATATTGGTGAGAAAATCTTTGTTTTAATTACCAGAAATATGCAGCCTACACTTTGATCCCCAAGGGATGAAAATGAGAGCAGTTTTAAATAATGTTATTTATTTTAAGTTTTTTCCTTTTTTTTCCCGTTGTGCTTTGGAAATCCAGTTTGGCTTTGGCTGTGGGAGTGACTAACTGCTGAAACACCGTCTTGTTTCTTGCCAGTTAAAAACCTGAACTTTCATGTTAAGGTGTCAGTTACGGTGCTTTTGTTACAAACTCTGCAGAGACTTTTTTTTTTTTTTTTTTGCTATTTACACTCCTAACTGTATCTTGCAACATTCCTGTTCTTCTGAGAGGGTGTCTCCTATTTGAATTTGTTTTTGGCAGCTGCTGTTCATCTGGCAGCATTGTCAGGCAGCTTGGATGGGAACCTCAGTCATCCAAAGCTTCCTTCCCCAAAGCTGATTTTGCATAGTCAAATGATGTTACCTCTCTGCATCATCGCTCCTGCTTTGTGGTAGATAATGGTGATTTCTTGCTGTATGCAGGGCAGCCAAGGGGGATGATACTGATGAACTGTTGTGCACACTCTAGAGTTCGCCAGCAGTTTTTTAATGTTTGTCCATAAGATGATAATGTTTTTGCAAGTTATGCCTGCAGCAGGTCAGCTACAGAGAGTGGTACAGCTGGAGATGCAGATGAAGTGTCACCTCCCTGGGAGAGGAGCAGCTCTGCATCCTGACAGGGCTGGAGCTCTCGAGGTGGTGTGCACTGCTCAGGGAGTGCTGCTCTGCAAACACAGGGTCTGCTCAATGTGGTGGCCCTCACACCCTTCCATACAGCTGCTGTGCTCCTGAGGGGCTGCTGCTCTCTTAGAGAGAACATGTCAGTGAAGCAAGAGCCTGCTAGAAAGTGAATCCCCAGCTTTTTTGGCCCAGACTGGGCACGTGGTACATTGCAGGAGCCATCAGTCTGTTTGTCTGTCTCCTGGTGGTGGCTACCACTCAGAAGAACAATATGGCTTGTTGTCCACAAACCATGTGTGGGAGACCACAGGGATGCACAAAGTGCTTCAGCTCACCTTTGCTAGCTCCTGGACCACCAAAGGTTTCAGTCTGAATAGAGTTTCCTTCAAGAGAGTACAATACCATGTTCCTGTTGTGATGTTACTTAAACCTTGCTGTATCTCTGATATATGTTGCTGTGTTCCTCTGCAGGAAGGAGCACTGGAAGCTCCTTGGCAACCTGAAGACCACAGTGGAAGGTTTGGTGTCTATAAGCAACCCAAATGTCTGGTCCAAGTATGGCGGCTTGGAACGGCTCTGCAGAGACATGCACAGCATCCTCTACCATGGGCTCATGCATGACAAGGTGTGACTGTCCTGCCAGCACAACTGTCTGTCTGTCTGTCTGTCTGTCATGGCCTCAGTGCCTGTCACAAGCAGGTGCTGCAGCTCACTTCGGTGCTCACAGCAGAGTGGGCACAGTGCTTGTAACAGGGTGGGAAGTGATCCAAGCAGGGACTGAGCTTGCCTGTTAAATGCTGTGGTTGTCAGAGGGACCTGGAGTTCTATCTCATCTACTTTCAATATGGTTTTCCTAAGTACTTGTGCCCCCTGTGCTGAAGCCAGCCCCTCTCTCCTTTCTTTCTGCTGCAGCCAAGCGATTAAATTCCATTTGCAGTGAGTCAGCCCCGTATCATCTGCACTTGGACAAGTCCCCAGCGAGGCCTGGCAAGAGAAACCTCGCATCTTTACTGTTTCTGGTTAGCTGTGTTAGTAACAGGAGCTGGCAGCCAAACCCATGCTCTGCGTGAATGGGATCACTCTTTCCAGGCTCTTGTTGTGCCTGCAGTTGCTCACCCAGCCTTCCCCCCTTCCATGGCTGCCTGGAAGAATTTCTCTTTCCTGCTTGTGTGCAGAGGCTTGAAGATCTCCCCTTCAGCTTGCAATTACCAGCACAATTAATTTACAGTGGAAAGATGAAGCAAGGCTGCAGGGTTTGCCTGGGGACAGGCTTCCCATCAGTGGCTCTGCCACCCAGAGAGAAGAGAACAGCTCACAGGAGCCCCAGGCAGTTTGCATGGGCCAGCTGGGTTCCAGATCAGGAAAACTGCATCTATGCAGTGCTGCACCCAAGCTGATAAACTTCCAGGAAGCACCAGACTGGCAGGTTGTCCGAGCAGGGAGCTTTGCTCCCTGAATTTATTAAGTTTGCAGACAGCATTAGTTGAGGTGCTGCTCTGTTCCTGTTAGTCCCCAGCTGCATGGACCAGGGACCTTCTCTGGGAGATCAATAGAGAGAGGAGTTACCTTTTCCATGTGAGGAGTGCAGTGCTCCCTTCTGACAGACCTGCTATTCACAGGCTTCTGGAGTGAGGTTAAAATGATTTATGCTTGTCTGTCTGTCGGCAGCAGTTCATGCCAGACCTGCAAAGCAGGATGGTGCGTTACCTTCCTCAGTGCTTTTACTGTAGTCAAAGACAGCTCTTCTACTCAGGAACATCTCCTCTCATCAGGCATGTGTGACACCAATCAAGCTATAGGAGTTGCAAAAGGAGGCCCATAAAAATACAGCTTCCTAGCAGCAGTTGGCTCATAGTTCCTCCAGCAAAATATTTCCATTTACTTTTTTATTTTCTTGGCAACTTTTTCATCTACAGTTGGGAATTAAAAAGAAAAAAGGTAAAAAAAATCCATATGTACACATTAAGAAAACTAGGGTTAGAGGTTTTTAAACTTTTGAATTAATTTTATTTGTTTGTCCAGAGAACCGAGTTCAGTCTAGAAAATTAAAATGGTCGTGTTAGTTTTCTAGTCTTTTAAAATGCCCTGCCAAACCAAATAAACCACCAAAACAGAAGCCATTCCTCTGTCACTTGCGAAAGAGGAAATAGCAATGGAAGTAAAAATAATCAGATTTTTGGTGAAGAAACACTTTTTGGGTCTGTGTTTACAACCAGTAGGGTGGAGAGGAACACAGAAACTCTGTTGCAGTTCCTCTCTAAAGGGAAGAATAACTTAGAAAACCACTCATTGTCTGAATAAAGCTGAGGCAAACAGCCTGCTGTGGCAGCAAGGGACTAATGGGGATGTGCTCATTTAACTGGCACTTGGGAGGTGGTACCTGACTATGCCTGTCCTGGGCAGGTGTGCTGCAGACAGAAGGATTACTGGCACTTTGTGAAGGACATTCGCTGGCTGAGTCCAGGCTCTGCTCATCATTTGGAGAAGGTGGGTTCTGGTGGGGTGGTCTTGTGTGCCCAGGGGGAGGGCAGAGGGCAGCTGGGCTGGAGCCCATGGGACAGCAGTGCCTGGGCTCTTGTGGTTAAAGTGGCTCCATGGCTCGTGGAGGCTGACACAGCTGTGGTTTTGGGTACAAGCTGTGTCCTGGGGCCTCAGTGTGGCTTGGGCTGAGACAATTGGCTGCTTATTTCTCCCAGGCCAGTCTCCAGGTCTGCAGGGCGGGGTGCAGCAGGCATCACCAAGGGAACTGGCACAAGCAGTTCTTGTGTATGTGCAGGGGTAATTCATGTGTCTGTGCAGATCTCTAAGGGTCTGGGCTGTCCCATTTTCTGCGTTGTGACTTCACCATGCATTTATTCTCCCATTCTTTACGCCAGCTGCTGGCGTATGGGGATGCTCCTGGTCCTCTGCTGCCCTGTGCTGACACCTGTGGTTCCTGCTGTGGATAGGCACAAAGGGCTGGCCACTGGTGGTCCCTGTGTCCAGCCTGCTGCTGCGGGATCAGGGGTGTAACCTCAGTTACTGCAGGCTGCAGCAGCTCAAGCATTGCCATAGCCTTTCCCAGTTAATGTGTCAGCAGGAAAATGACTGTCACCACTGGGGTCAGATGGGATTTGGGAGCATGGGGTCCCTCCAGGTCATGGGGAAGAGAGTGTGCAAGAGAAGTTCATCGTGCTGGTGGCTCTCAGAGGACTTTGGTCACTGGCTGACCTTTGAAGCATTGTTCCTGCCTGGTGCTTTTGCCTCCCTGGTGGCTGGGGAGCTGCTGGGACATGCCCTCTTTCCTGCAACTGCCATGGGAAAGCTGCTGTTATCAAGGGGACCAAAGCCATGCGTTGGAACAAGCCCCGGTCCCCTTCTTGCCTCTGCCTGCCTTAACCTGTGCCTGACATCCCTTTCCAGTTCATCAACCTGCAGGAGAGTGGCCAGTGTGACCCCAAGGGCCCAGGGGACCAGGCCATTGCGCAGCTGTGGCTGCAGCACAGCCTGCAGTGCCACTGCCTGTCAGCGCAGCTGAGGCCGCTCCTGGAGAACCGGCAGTACATCAGGAAGTTCTACACAGGTAAAGAGCAATGGGCCTTTTCCTTCTTACTAGGAAAATATCTAGCTGGTGGCATTTCAAAGCTGTGTGGGAGTGAGGGAGGACAGCAGAAATGTTGGTTTGCATGTGAGCAACTGGTTTGTCAAACTGTGTGGGTGAGAGGGACTCCCTTGAGCAGCATTTTTTCTCCCCAGATACTGCCTTCCTGCTCAGTGACGCCCACGTCACAGCCATGCTGCAGTGCCTGGAAGCTGTTGAGCAGAACAACCCCAGGCTTCTGGCTCAGATCGACACTTCCATGGTGAGTTGAGGTCCCAGATTTTATAGCTGGCTCTCCCCAGTTGCCAGCTGGTTGTGGCTGTTCCCTCGAGGTCACATTCAGGGCATGCAGAGCCCTTGGACAAGGGGCTGGACTTGGAGCTAGTAAAAGTTGCTCCAAGAAGGGAGGAGAGTGGGGAACTGGTCTTTGTCCTGCCAGCATGACCAGGGTGAGATGGCTGTGTGGAGCCTGTAGTGGGGCACTTTGGTTCATGCTTGCACCAAGGATTTGAGTAGAGGACCTGAGGACCAATTTCTTGTAAGAGACACCTTTAAAGCTCTCTCCAACAGTCCCAGGCTTCAAGGCCAGCACACAGAGCTGCCTGGTCATGAGGGACAGTCACCCTCTTGAGGGGATGGGCAATGCCTCAGAACACCTGGGTGCCTACTCCTGCTCATTATGCCAGTGACCCTCTGTGCAGCCCTGTGCCAGCTGCCCCCTCTCCAGAGGAGGGAAACAGCAGCTGCCTTCTTTGCACAGAGTCCCCAGAGGAGAGCAATTAGTGAGGCTTTGTTAAATGGGGGCTGTGTTCTTTCAGCTGGCCGGCACGTCACTGCCGTCCCTGTGCGCATCAGACCCTTCTGCTGGGACAAGAGAGATGTGTGATCACAGTGGTGAGGGACACAAGAGCCGTCTGCCAGGAGCGCTGGGCTGCCTGGATCATTTCACTGAGAGCCTGGTAATTTCCCAATGGGAATCTGTCCCATAGCTGTGATCAAAGAGCCGCTTCCCTTCTGTGCTGCCGTGTTTTTCCCTCCCTACCCTCGCGTTCCCAGGGCTGCCACATTGTTTGTGGTTGGTGACCAGGCATTTGAAGGCTGATCCCTTTCTGTTGCTGCTCTTTTGACATGTAGCCCCATAGATGCTGATTTATTGATGGTGTCACCTCTCTTCAGCTTACCAGGAAGAGTGACAGTCCGTCTCCAGTGACGAAGAGTCAGAGCCTGACTGCCCTCCCTGCATCCCTGAGTGTCCCTGCTGCCACCTGCACACAGCAGCGCTGCTTTGGGTCCTTCTCCAGCCTCCAGCATGCAGCCTCCTCTGGCCTCTCAGGTATCAAGGCTGGTTAGGGTAGACCGGAAAAGCCTTTACCTTTTTATCTGCCTATGTATTTGTTGGTGTGGATAGGTATGGAAGACTTCCGCCCATGATGGGAGGGAGGGATTTGCCGGTGGTGGGTGTGCATGTTGGTGTGAAGCCATGATCTTATTGCCACAGGATATGTCTCCTTGTCTCCTTGTGCCAAAATGTGTGAAATCATGCTCTTGCCTCTGTCCAGACAGGAGACCAGTGAGTTCCTGTGGCAGCTCCAACTCCAGCCAGCCCCAGGAGCGCTGCCCGTCCACCCGGTCCTCCTCCTTCAGTGAGGGCAGGTCCCCTCTGGAGCAGCCCAGCTCTGTCACCCGCTTCCACGTCCCCTCACCCAAAGACCCTGTCTTTCCAGCCAGCGAGATGAGCTCCAGCACCACCAGCCAAAGCGAGGACACTTGGACAGGGAGTCAGGATGATCCACAGAGTGATGTTAATGATGGGCCGGAGTACCTGGCCATTGGGAACTCGGGACGCCGGGGCCGGGCATGCAGCAGCACCAGCACCAGCAGCACCAAGAGCAGTAGCTCCAAACTCTTCTCCTCCAGCGGCTCCCAGAAGCTGGACTCAGTATCGTCCCTGGGGGAGCAGGGAGCAAGTGGAGGTGGCAGCAGGGGCCTGAGCCTGTTGCGCCGGTCCAGCTTCTCAGAGGGACAGTCTTCAGCTCCACAGGGCATCCTCAAGAAGAGCCATGTGCGCTCACACTCTGACACCAATGTGACTTCTGGGAAGTTGCACGGTAATGGGACAGCTTTTCTGGGAAGCCTTTTGGGCATGGGAGTCCCTGGTAACAGAAGGCTGATGCTGGCCACCCCTTTGATTGCATGGATCACGTTGGAGAGAGGGACAGTGGGCAAGTGGTTGGTCTTTTCCCTTAGCTTTTCAGCTCCACACTGGAATGATGGGATGACATCTTATTTCCCAGAATGCCCTGGGCTGGACTGTTACTGGTATTGCCAGCTTTTACTAAAATCTTAGAAAATGGCAGCAGTGCTGTGGCATCAGCTGTTCTTCTCCACTGGCCTTGCTTGGCTGGGATGTGGGACTGGGGCCTGGGCTCATCCAACTGGTAGGATGACATCCCACTGGTGACCTGGGTTCTCCTGTGGTCTTGAGTGAGTGAATACATGGGGCTGGGGAGAGTGGGGTGTGAGGGGACAACCAGTTTGTGGGAGTTTGCCCTGATGCTGCCTTCACTGGAGAAGTGGAGGTCCTTGCTGAATAGTAACTAGTATGTCTCTGTTTTCTCTCCTTTAATGCTGCCCTTCTCCTCCTCTGTCTGCCCAGGAGGCCTCAGGGATATCACCATTATAATAGAAGATCCAGTGGCAGGTTTGGGAGACAGTATAACAGCCCTTCATTAGTGATCATTGCATCAAGTTCAGGATTGCTGTCAATCCATTAGTGTTCATTTAGAAAACCAAAAAAATCTTTCTTTGTTGTGTCCCAGCTGATGCTTTGAAGTGTGGTCTGGTTTATGCATGTGACCTGACCGAAGATTCCAGCGTGGTTTGTGGAAGCAATGGACCAGACCCAGAAATGTGTCCAGCTCCCCTGCATGGCATTAGGGAGTGCTGGCCACCAAGTCTCTGAGCTGCATCCCCTGCCCTTCCCTCCATCCACTGCCTCAGAAGCCAGGAGAGGTTTCATCTCTTACCTAGAGAATAAGGGCTGGCAGCTAACCAGGCATGGGCTTGAACATCTAATTTTTCCTTTTATTTCATGGATCTGTGGCACAGGGAGGTTTGATATTGACTGATTTCTAGTGTGTGTAACTACATCTGAGACTCCTGGATGCTCTTTTGGGCTCAGGGCAGGTTTTACCCCAAGCAGAAATGCTGGGGTGCTACCATCCCTTTGCCCCATGTGCAGAAAAAGTCAGCAGTTAAAAAAACCAGGCTGTTTTGTTTTGCATCCACTGAACAGTGGCACTGCATTTGTTGAGCTCACATCTGGGTGCTGAGGGTTCTGAATCTGGGAAGGCTCATCCCTGGGGGTGCTGAGTGTTCAGAGAGATGTGTCCAGCCTTGTGTCCTGCTCCAACAGATGATGCTGAGCACTGCCTCACTTTACCTTTCAGCAGTAGGCTCTGCTGTATGTGGCATCCCCAGGCATCCACCCCATGAGGTGGTTTCTGTGTTGAGGTGGCTGCAGGACACCCTGTCAGGCTGCAGTGAGTAGCTGTGAGAGTCTCCTATCCTACCCTGTTGTCTCCCAGGCTGTGGAGTGGGTTGATCCCAGGCTCCATCTTGGTGGCTGCTGCTTCATGGCCCTGACAGGGAGAGGCTGGTATTGGTGGGCTCAGGAGCCTCCAGCCACATCAGTTGTGGTAAAGCTGGGAGCAAAAATGAATAGGAGGTTGAGAGGACAGGGTTGCCCTTCTGTTATGCTCAGGATTGTCAGCTGGCACCTCCCTGTATCCAGAGCTGTATGCTTCTCTCCCACTCCAGGCAGGGTGTTTTCAGTCTCCTTCAGTAGTCCTCTGCCACCCAGCCACTCCATCCAAGTGCTCCCTGGGGCCATGGCTCTCTGTAGAGCACCACCTGTTCTTGGTCTCTGCTCAGGCCAGCTCCTGGCAGTCTCCACTGGCTCAGTCTGGCACGGAGTTGCACCACAGTGTGTGCATGGGGCAGAGCCCTGCCCACAGCCCGTGTAGGTCACCTTGAGTGCTGTGTGTGGGGAGTCCTGGCTTACAGTGGAGCAGGAACATGTCCTTCAGATGTCTCCTTACACTGGTGTCCAGGCTGCTTTGCAGGGCAGAGACCCCCACAGATCCTTTGACTGCTCATGTTTCCCTGCGTCTCCTGTTTGTTCTGGGGCATAACTCTGCCCTCAGAATGCTCCCTCAGGAAGAAAGAGCTGGCAAGAGGTACTTGCTGGAGCCTGTTGTGTCCCCCAATGCTGCTCTGGGGTAAACTGAGGAAGGCTCAGGATGTGATTGTTCCATGTCTCTCATGATCTCTCCTTCATTCCCCTTCTCTTGCCTGAAATGCCTTTCTAGTTTTGTCTCCTCCTGGGCTTGCCCTCAGCTGTGGCATGGAGCAGGAAGATGTCTCTTTATTTCATCCATTTGTGCCTGCGTGTGTGATGCCGAGCCCCTTTCATTTCACCCTGTGCAGTGGCAGGGTGCCTCTGAGGTACTGAGGTGTGCCTGGTGTCATCTTCCCTTCCAGAGTCCCATGGTGATCCAAGTGGAGGGAGAGGGCCCATCTCTGCTTCCACACAGAGCAGTGAACTGAGTACACCCAGCTCCCTCTACATGGAGTATGGTGAGTACAGTCAGCCTCAGTGGGGACACTCAGTCCTGCTCAGGTTCCTCCATGGGCTGCAGTGGCCTCAAGTGCTGGCACCTGCTTGTGGGATGCTGGCAGGGTGCTGGCAGGGCTTGGTGGCATGGAGATAGCAGGTCCTTCCCTCATACCTGTGTCCCTTGCTTTTCTAGACTCTGGACAGTACCTGAGCTCGGGGGAAGGGATGTTCAGGAGACCTTCAGAAGGGCAGTCCCTCATCAGCTATCTCTCTGAGCAGGACTTTGGCAGCTGTGCAGACCTGGAGAAGGTGAAGGAAGCAGCAGCAGCCTGTGTGCATTGGGGAATGTATCTTACTGCAGGCTCAGGGATACTTCCTGTTGTGGGGACGATAATGTGTGTATTGCCTGTTGTAGAGCTGTGCACAGAACTCCAAGGCTGAGCTCCTCGGTGGTGTACAGTAGCTGGGATTTGTCCATCTGTCATATACATGGCAGCTTTGCAATATGTTAGGGCCCCTCAGGGCTGTGTGCTGACCCTCCAGAGTGGATGTGTTGCACATCCTCTTTGTAGGATGATGACTCTTGTGTTTCGTGGGTATTCTGATGCCCAAGAAGGCTTTGTTTTCTAGGTCCTTAAAGAAGAGTTGTATTTTGACAGAGATTAACATCTTTCTGCCACCAACCATGAGTAATAAGCTCTTTCCTGGAATACGCGGGGAACAAAATTTTACCAAGTCTTGCTAGTGTGTCCACGCAGAGCCTTGAATGCTTTTGCTCTTGCAGGAGAACGCCCACTTCAGCATCTCAGAGTCCCTGATCGCTGCCATTGAACTGATGAAGTGCAACATGATGAGCCGGCAGCTGGAGGAGGAGGAAGAAGACAGTGACAAGGAGATCCAGGAGCTTAAACAAAAGATTCGCATTCGGCGTCAGCAGATCCGCACCAGACACCTGTTCCCTACCTGCCAGGAGATGGGCTCAGACAGTGGGTGATGTGTTCTGGGCTCATTAGCTAGTGGGATGCGGGTTTTCTGTCCATTGCCTATCCTATAGCTGCCGGCCTTCCTGCCCGTTCCTTGGAAACAGTTAAATTGCTGCCAAGGTGGTGCCAAGATTAGTGAAACTGCTGCTATTGAAGACCATAATGTGACAGATACCATCCATTGATAACACTGCTGGCCCTGAGCTATGGAATGTAATTTCATATTGAACCCACAGTGTTTTCCATCCTTGAGCTCCATCCCTCCTTTATCTAACTCCATCTCCCATAGCTGTCAGTGTCCTTTTGGAGCAGTTCCACTGATGACCTGGCTGTGATGCCTTTCTCCCAGGTCTCGTGGCAACAGACAGCGGGTCCCAGTTCAGCTCCCATGGCTCCATGCGGCTCTCTGACTCTGGCTCTGCAGAGGATGTGGAAGAGTACGAGATCCAAGGTAGGAGGGAATGGCTGTGTTGCCTTCTTTTATAGAAACAACTCCCTGGTGTGGTTGTGTTGGGATCAGTCCTGCTGAAGAGGATCCTGTCCCTCTGGCCTTCAAGATGGCTTTTCCCAAACAAATGGCTGAATTCTGAGTATAAGCAGAGCAATCAGTTTCCCTCATGTGGTAGCATGACTTTCCTTCAAAATCTTCTGTAACCCTGTCACATTCTGTGCCTCTGGCTGGTAGGTAGTTTCTGTTTCATTCCCTGGTACACATAGCTGCTGTCACAGCTAGAGAGGTGGGAGAGCTGCCATCCTCTCTTCTCCTCCCCAGGCAGAAGGAGCCATAGCTCTGACCACCTACCTCTTGGATGGTGGGTATTGGTCACATCCTGACCTGCAATGCCTGTGGTGTCTGCTCCTGGCAGCTTGGGTGGCTGAGCTTGTCACCCACAGGAGACCAGTGCAAGTCCCTGGGTATGCATTTTCTTCAGAGCCTCATTCATCCTCTGAAGTGGATGACTTACTTCTCAGTAGTACCTCCATCTCTCTTACTTAAAAGAAGATGGAGTTGTACAGTCTTGAGCTTTAAACTGCTTGTCTCCTGACTGTTGATAGCAACTTCTCCTTTCAGTCCATGAGGGTAAGGTTTTGGGCTCAGTTTTGTAGCCCATGGAGGAGTGTGTGAATTCAGTTCTGGGCTCTCCTCGTGTGAGTGCTGCTCTTGTTTTATGCCCTTTCTCTCTGGCCTGGCTGAAGCACTGAAGTCAACTGTTTTGTCATCACCATGTCATACAGATGGTAACGATGGATCTAACCTGATTCAAATGTCCAAGAACGGCCTCTCAGTGTCAATGGCTTCCTTGTTCTCAGGTACCCTGCAGTGCTCCCTGGGCACGCGCGCGTGTGTGTGCAAGGTGTGTGTGTGTGTGCACGGGCACACTTCTTCAAAATCTGCCTGGATTCAGAGCTGGGAATTAGTTCCAGTATCATGCAGATGTCAGCAAGGAGAGCTGTGGCAGGATGATGTGGAGGATTGAGTGGAGCAGATGCAGAGGAGTTCTGCTGTGGGCTCCATACCCATTTTGCCACGCAGTATTTTGGATGTATCAAAAGTGCCTGCTGTGGTGAAGACCTGTCTTGCCTGGGGTAGGACTTCACAGGACAGTGAAGCTCTGTAGGCCCAGTGAGCCTGGGCTGAATGAGAGCAGAGTCCTTCAATGTGGGACCAGGTCTCCATCCCAAGTGCCTTGGAGAGCATTATCCTGCTTGACTTGGCAGAGCTGGCATGCCATAGCTTTGATCTGAACCACAGACTTCCTGTTCTGCTTAGACTTGACTTGGAGTGGAACCCTTCTAGAAAGAAGTTCTAGAGAGAGAATTAGTGAGATCAGACAGGGCACAGGCAGGTTGTTCATGCTGGAGGTCCTAATCACTGGGATCACATGCAGCTTAGTGTTTTTATTGTTTACAGTAGTACCAGGTAATCCTTCTGGTCTGCTGGCTGTGTTTAAATAACCTTCATATGCTCCCTGTTTGCTTTAGCAAGGGAACAGCCTGCTGGGCTGCTGCTGATCTCTACTGTCAGGTGTTCAGAACCAACATGTTACTCCTGATGGGCTTGCTGGTGCTCAGATCTTTCCTGTCAGCCCTGTTGTGTTCACAGAGCAGGCTGTGATCCTGGCTGAAGCTTGGCACATGGGGTGTGGGGTGATGTCCTTAGATTTGGGGGCTGTTCTCAAACTTCCTGGGGACTACCCCACTTGATAGCACTGGCAGCAGAAATGTTTTGGGTAACTAATGAGGATTTGGGGAGTGTTTGCAGTTGATGTTGGGAAGCGAGCGGTGTCAGGGTCGCAGTGCTAGCTCCCTTGGAATCCTAGGGTCAGATCTGGCTTCCTCTGCCACCTCTGAGACCATGTCACTGCCTGAGTGTGCTGGCTCTGTCTCCCCATAGCACCTGGCCCATTCTGTGCTGTGTGTGCCCCATCTGCTCATGTTCATCATAGTCTAGGACCATGCGGGACCTTCCTGTGCAGAGCAGAAGGCACCAGAGCATGGCAGTTGTGTCTGGCTGGTGCCCTATGAGGTTGTGAGGCTGTTTGCCTGAATTTCTTGTTTTCTGCAGCTGGAATTCAGTTTGCATGACATAGGTAGGTGGATTCCTTAACAGTAGGATGCTTTCCTGTGCCTGTTTTAGCAATGGTTGTCAAACAATGAAGGTCGAGTGTCCAAGCTGAATTCCAGTACTGTGAGTCTGTAAATTTGCAGGACTTGCTCCCTTTGTTGCTAGGGCAGTCTGGCTCTCTGTAGAAAAGCTTGGGGCAGGGGTACACTTCTTGCTCAGCCTGTGATTCCCTTGCATCACAGGCTGTGATTCCTTTGGCCTCAGTGTGCAGTTTGTGCCTGGCTGGGATCGTGTGGGCTCTCTACAGATTTGTGTTAGTCAGCCTACTTGGGGTACAGGAGCAGGAACCCTGAGCTGTGTCTCCCCATGCCAGGCACTGGGGCAGGGGAAGCTACAGGCTTTTGTTTGGGGGTGGTGTGGTCACTGCAGACCATTCCTAGAGCTCCCCAGAGGTACAAAACAGCAGACCTATTGGGATAAAGGTTGTGGCTTTGGTCACTCTTCTGTCCTGACCTGTAGTACTTTCCCCTTGCATGCCTTCTTCCCTTTTCTGGGAGCCTTATCAGCCGTGAAGCAGTTTTCTGCCTGCTTCTGTCTGTGCTGTACAACTGAAAGTGTCCTGACACAGGAGTCTTGTACTGTTGAGACGGATTCCCTGTTAGGGTTTAACCTGCTGGAGTAAAAGAAAGATGAGTGGTGAAGGTACCACTGCCTGGTACCTGAGCTTCAGGGCAGCCCAGGGCTCTTGGGGAGCTGATGGAGGGGTGTAGGGAGCAGGACTGCAGTGTCCTGCACCTTATCTTGGACCCCTCCCTCCTCAGGAGATGAGTCTGTGACCTCTGCAGAGGTCATGGATGCTGGCCCTTTCTCTGCAGGGATGCCGATGTGTCTGGGCAGTGCTGGGCACAGGCTGCCAGCCCTGGCTGTGCAGTCTCTGACAAGCTGTCAGTGTGACAAATGTCTGATCTTACAGGTTACAGTCAAGTAGAGAAAAGGGCTCTGCATCCCATTGCTAATCCCTTCCAGCATCTGTACTGTGTGTAGAGAGCTACTAAACCTTCTTGCTGACCCTGCAGTCCTGCTCTCCAGGCTCCTGTGTGTGTTCTATTTCAGGCCATGTTACTGCTAGGACTTGGTGTGTGACCTGTACCAGCAGCCACTCCCCCCAAACTTCAGGCTGGCTGTCCACAGCATCCCACCATAACTTTCCCTTGTAATCCTGACAGCTGACTGATTAGACTGACACCCCTCCTTGCTGCTCAGTACCACTGGTAGAAGTTGATGCTGTAGTTCACTTGCTTTTCAACAGCTTGATGAGTTTTACCTTGGAGCTTTGGTTTGAAATGAGTGTATCCCCCTGCCCTGTCCCATCTGTTCCACCTTGTCTGTTTGTGATTCAGATGCAGACATCAAGAGGAACCCAGACTCCAGCAGGAAGTCCTTTCTCTCCTCAGACTCCATGTACGTCTTGAACCTCATGGCAACACATATTGGTACCATGTTCTCCTTCCTACCCAGCTCTGCTCTTCCATGTGCATCAGCTTCTGTCTTGCACTGGAGTAGATATGTGTCCCCCCCCTCCCTGGGTACTACTTTGCTTCATGTGGTGAAGTACAAAGCTGTATCCATGGTTGGCAGCTGCTTGGGTGGGTTCATACTGGGAGGGCAGTTGTTTCTGACTTGTACAGGCACTGGCTGTCACTTTGCAGCTTCCCCTGCAAACAGGCACAGGTTTTGCCAAGTGGGTTAAGTTTTGCTTGCTCTTCTGAACTGTTGTTCTGGTGCCATTATCCAGCTTTGCTTGGGAACAGCTGCAAAGGCAGAAATCAGTAATGTGTATTAATTTTAATATTAAAATTATGTGTGGCAGTGCAGAATTAAGGTACCAGAGTTGAAGGGAGGGTCTTTGACTTGAGCTGGGACTACCATGGGGCTGCAAGAACAGCACAGCTGTGAGATCCAGTACTAACCATTCCTTTGCTGTCTAGATCCCACTCCTTCCTCAATTCAAACTCGGCAGAGGCAGTGGCCATGGGCTTGCTGAAGCAGTTTGAGGGCATGCAACTCCCAGCTGCCTCTGAATTGGAGTGGCTGGTCCCTGAGCATGACGCCCCACAGAAGGTAAGGCTGTGAGTTCCTGTCACTGATTGCATTTGATCTTCCCTGAACCCTTGGCTTCAGGGCACTGCTGAGGGGACTTTGCCTATCCCAGTGCTCCATGTGTGGAGCTTGAGGAGGGGGTTTGTCTGGGCTTTGGAGATGGATGCAGCCAAGCAGGGCTGTGCCACTGCAGCCTCCTACAGCAGTGTCTGGATCCGTGGGGACAGCCCTTCTTCAGCCCACAGTTCAACTGGTGCCTGGCAGTTTTCCAGAGGGCTGCAGTTACAGGTTTCTGGCAGTCCAGCGAAGTGCACTGCCTTTGCAGTACAAGATAGGGATCTGACCCTCTTGCCTGCCTCTCCCAGCTCCTGCCCATCCCTGACTCTCTGCCTATCTCTCCCGACGACGGAGAGCACGCCGACATCTACAAGTTGAGGATTCGGGTACGCGGAAACCTGGAGTGGGCCCCGCCGCGACCGCAGATCATCTTCAATGTTCACCCAGCCCTAGCGTAAGGACCCATGTGGCTGGGGGCTCTCAGGGGACCTGCCCTTTCCATCGCTTTTCCATCAACATCAAGGTTGATTATCCTCTGGTTGCTGGGGTTTCCCTGCTCTGAGCCTGGTAAATCCACAGTGGTCACCACTGTGAGGTGGTGGGATGGAGCCAGGGCCTGGGGTTAGTGCCTTTGGTGTGACCCAGGACACTGCAGGGCTTTTTCCCTTGGATGTGTTGTCCACATAAACCTCCCAGGCCTGTGCTGGTACCCGTCTTGTGGTAGGGCTGGGTCATGCATGTTGTCTTCTGTCTCTGGGCAGGAGGAAGGTGGCTGTGGCCAAACAGAATTACCGGTGTGCAGGCTGTGGCATCCGGACTGATCCTGGTGAGTGTTGGGAGCCTGACCTATAGCTGGAGTGTGGTTGGGAAGAACCTGCAAACAAGTGGGAAGATGCTGAGTGAGTGGGTGGTGGTAGAGCTCAGTACAAGGTCCCTGGAGCAGTGCTACCTTGCCTTTGTCAGCTCTGTGGTGCACACACATTGGTGTGCACTATCCACAGAGGGGCCTCCTCTTCTAGGCGGTCACAGAGCTGGTGGAAGCAAAGAGCCGCCAGCCTGTCCTTTAGAGGGCATTTCAGATGTTGACTCTTGTAAGGCCAAGTCTTCTGTTGGGTCCTCAAACTCCCAGCAGGTTCTGCAGCTGCAGAGCTCTTCCCTGAATATGTAGGTAGATGTGGCTGCATGAGACTGGACTATTGGTCCCAAAGGCTTTTGCAGTCAGAGGGTGCTTTCAGACCCCAGTGTTGAGTGCTCTGGGCTGGCAGAGTTGCCAGCAAGGCAGAGTTCCTTGCTTGTTGGAAATGCTGAGCAGTGTTGGGAGTGCAGCAGAGGCCGTGCCTGGGCTGACCCTGCCTGTCTGCCTGGGTTTGGCCAGATTACATCAAGCGGCTGCGGTACTGTGAATACCTGGGCAAGTATTTCTGCCAGTGCTGCCACGAGAACGCCCAGACCGTCATCCCCAGCCGCATCCTGCGCAAGTGGGACTTCAGCAGGTACTATGTGAGCAACTTCTCCAAAGACTTGCTGAGCAAGATCTGGAGTGACCCACTCTTCAACGTGCAAGCTATCAATCCTGCCCTGTACCAGAAAGTGAAAGCTCTCAACCAAGTGCGGGTAAGACCCTTTCCATGCCTTCCCGAGTGGAGTTTGGGTAAGGTGGATGGCTGCCAACTGTAAACCCTATTTCAGGGAAGCTGGGGAGAAGAAGATATTTCAGTTTTGGAAGCTTAAAACCTCATCACTGTGTCTTTCCATTTGCCTCTTCTGATTTCTTCAGTGGCACAGGAATGTCAAAAGGAATTTTTGGCTGGTATCCAGCTGGGCTTCAGTTTATCTCCTGGAGCACATGATGATGGTTGTGCTTGCCTTGCCCTGTGTGATGTAAACACTTTGGAAACAGGAGAGCAGCAGCTGAGCAGCAGTTATTTCAGCAGCACAGGGAAGGGAGCAGACCTGTTGGCTGAGGACCATGCTCTGTTTATTGATTCTTTGTCCCCTCTTCTTCTGCAGCTGCTGCGAATCCAACTTTTCCACATGAAGAACATGTTCAAGATGTGCCGGCTAGCTAAAGAGTGAGTTCTGGGCTGTTTTGCTGTCCTGGTTCTGTCCCCTGGCAGTTTGCACTGGCAATCCGTGCAGCTTCTGCATTGAGTTCTGGAGAGAAGGAGGGCTGGAAGGGGAGGGAGAGAAAGCATAAGGAATGAAGCAGGGGGTCCTAGTGGAGTCACTTTGCTCTGAGCTCAGGTTTCTCTGTCCTTGCAGCCTCCTGGACTCCTTTGACACAGTGCCTGGCCACTTGACAGAGGATTTGCACCTCTACTCGCTGAGTGACTTCAGTGCCATCAAAAAAGGGGACCTGATGCCTCGCCTGACAGAGCTCCTGAAGGCAGGCAGCCTGCACATTGACAAGTGCATGGTAAGGTCTCGTCTCCTGCCTCCTGCATCGCTCTGGACCCTTGGGAGCAGGCTTTGCTGCAAAGATAACTGATGGGGAGGCTTTGGTGTGCCAGGGCAGCCACCAAATTAACTGATTCAATGCTAACTGTTTCTGCCTGCTTCACAGAGCTCTTACCCAGCACAAATGGGATATTTGCTACCCCATCTTAGCTCTCCCCCAGCCCTGACACAGGTTGATTCAGCCTTCCTGTGCTCCGTGCTGGGGAAGGGCTGTCCCACATGGTTAGAGCAGGGCACTGTGGCCTGCTGTCCTGCTCTACTCTACCTTCTGTCCTACTTGCCATGGAGGTGAACATTTAGCTGCTTTTTTCTCATCTTTTCTCCTTCCAGTTGTGCCAAGCCAAAGGCTTCATCTGTGAGTTCTGCCAGAATGAGGATGACATCATCTTCCCCTTTGAGCTCAACAAGTGCAAGACATGTGAAGGTGAGATACTGGGGAAAAACAGGGGCAGACCCTGGGGCCACCAAGGTCTGCTTACAGTTGGAGTGGCATTTGTGTTAGCAAGAGAGACAGGGCCGTAGCCAGCCAGACCAGAGTGCCCCTGTGCATGGCCTGTGTCTGCAACATGTTAACACAGCAGCAGATGATCATTGTTATAGTGTTTGCTGGCCTGGTAAAGCGTGTAGGCCCCTCCTGACCACACTGTGTGCTGCCTGCCCTGGCAGCTGTGGGCAGTCACTGCAGCAAGTTGGGTGTCGGGGAGCCTTGTCCCTCGTACTGCGGTTACAGGACAGGCTGCAGCCTGCACACAGCTCCCCTGCCTCTGCTTGGATGGCTGGAGCTGACCTTGCAGAGCAGAGAGAGCCTGAAGGCTTTATCTCTGCGCTCTTCCTGCCTGCTAAGAAATCCCTAGGCCCTTTCAGGAGACATCCTCAATAATGCCCACTATTAATGACTGAGTAGAGCTTGGGACCAGCCTCTGAACCAGCATAAAATGGCTCCTGACAACATGCAAGCCTTGGTTTGGCAGGTGCAGTGCCAGAGAAAACTTATGGCAAAGTCACTGTTTCCTCTGAGTATCAGGAAAGCTTGGGGAGGGATCTTGTGCAGAGCAGAAATCCTCTGTCCTGTGCTTCCAAAGCTTCATGTGCTGGTGCAGGGACCTGGGGTGTGGAGTGTCAGACGGTCTGTCAGCCTTTACCAGCACTCAGCCATGCTCTCCCTCACAGAGTGCAAAGCCTGCTACCACAAATCCTGCTTCAAATCCACCCGCTGTCCCCGGTGCGAGCGTCTTCAAGCCCGGAGAGAGCTGATGGCCAAGCCGAGCCTGGAGTCCTACCTCTCGGACTATGAAGATGAGCTGGAGCAGCCGGAGGCAGTAGCAGCCACATGAACATGGTGCAGCCAAGGAGCAGATCATGAGTTTATTTATGTGCATGGCCCTCATCACCAGAGACTGAGCCACGCAGATTGGGGATGAGGAGGACTGTTGGGAGGCCTGGAGTGCTGTCTTGAAGGGATCTCTTTTTCCCTCATGCAGTAGTGCTGGGCTGGGAAAGGAGCATATTCCACCATGTGGATCTGCTCCAGGTACCACTCCCACTCCCTGATGCCTTTGCTTGTGGGGAGGCAGCTGCTCCTGCCTTCACTGCAGGCAGAACAGGGACATTTCCCAAGCAGTTGTTCCTGCTGGACCTGGCAGGGTTGTGCTGTCCATCCCTGTGCCCTGCTCTGAGCTGAGCAGGATCCCCTGAAGGGTCAGCACGCTCTGGTCACATCTGCTCCTTGGAGGAGAGAATCAGATCTCAGTCCTCTGATCCTCCATTCTGCTGCTGGGGGTTGTGTGCATGGAGGGAGGGTGGGCTTTGGGGTTGGTTGTATATTTAACAGCTCCCTTTCTCAAATGTGCTGTGGGACACTGCTGGAGAGCAGTTACTCTCACTCCAGAATCAGAGCAGAGGAGGTGGCAATGATGAAAATGCCAGATTTCCCTGTGCTACAGAGGGACATTGCTCCTGGAGCAGCTGCACAAGTGGACGTGCTGATGAACTTTTGGCAGGCAGATGCTCATGGCTCCATGGAAATCTGCCTCCATGGGATGTGAGGCTTCTGACCCTACTTCCTTCTCATGCTGCCAATCTGTCCTACCAGGGAGATACGTCCTCCTTTAAGGATGACATGGGACCTCACTCTGGTGGCACCAGGACCTGCCTTGTGTGGAGTTGCCTCTGCCTGAGACCTGTCAGGATGCAGGTGAAGGCTCATCCCTCCAGCTGCATCCTCAAACCTCTGTCTGTTTGTTGGTTTAGGTTTTGGTTTTTTTCTTTTTTTAATCTGCTTGACTTGGTTTTGTTTTTTTAATGTGGTTGTTTGTATTTTTAACTGTGTGTTCCCCCGAAGGAGGTGCTGCTTGAAATGCCTTCTTAGCAGGCATGTGATCCGCTTGGGACTCAGCAGTATAAAATCTCCAGGGCTGTCCTGCTTCTGGTTCCTCACCCCTGGATGGAGCTGGTCCCCTTTCCCAACAGGATCTCCTGCTTGCCTTGGGGGAGGAAGGGTCCCTGAGCCAGGCAAAGCCTTGAAGCTTCCCAGCTGTGTTGTGGTGGGATGGTCAGACAGCCTGCTTGCAGTGGGGATACCTGGAGGGGAGGGGTTTGGCACTGGGGTGCTGCCAAGGACTGGTTCCTCACTGATGCAGAGCCACAAGTGACAGCTCTGCAGGGTCAGGGTCAGACCCCGTGGGACAAGATGAGCTCTGTGCCCAGTTAAGGAGGTGCCTGAGCACCGTGGGGGGATGCTTTGGCCATGGCATGTCCAGCACCACCTCACAGGTGGGATGTGGGGTGTTAGGAAGGATGGAATGGCCTCTGTATGTGCAAGGAGGGTGTTGAGGGACCAGAGAGCAATGCACTGGCAGGAGGCCTCAAGGGCAGGGACTCTTTCAGCACATGCCCTGATTCCAGGCTGGGATGTGACCCCTCATGGCCTTGTCCTGTGGGGATGGCAGGGTTGGAAAGAGGGGAGGAGGCTGGGACCAGGAGAGGTGGCTGCAGGGCTGGCTCAGGGAGGGTGGCTGCAAGCCTTGCTGCTGGGGGCCAGGCTGCTGCACAGCATTTCTGCCCTGCCTGCAGCATCCTGACCAAGTCCTGGAAGCAGGGTTCACTTCTCCACTTGCTCCCCTGGGGTTTGTGCTGCCTTGTGTCTTGCTTCTGCTTGTTTTCCCCAGCAGAGCAGCTGCTCTTCTGACTCTGTCTCTGACAGCCCTGGGGCTGCCAGATGTTGGTCTGCCTTGGTCTTCCTGTCCCCAAGCCGAGCCCTCCTGCTGCTGCTCAGACCTGGGGCCCCCTTCCCTGGATTTGACTGGCAGCACACCTCCATCCACCCTATTTTGTTTGAAGCACTTTAATGTCAGGGGACAGCAGCTGAGAGGCTGCCCAGATCCCTTTCTAGAAGCACTGAGTACTTTTTGAGAAGAGGGAAGGAATTCTGGCTTAGTTATGGTTTCCACCCTCCTGCCATGGACAGTGTGTGGAAGCAGTAGGACTCACAAACCTGGCACAGGTCTCCAGGGCAAGATTGTGCCCAGCACTGACACTGCTGCCCAGCACTGACCGCCACACCTAACACTGGAACTGGCCAAGACAGGGAGCTCCTTGGGAGGGAGAGCTGGGGGCTGCTCTGGCTGTCAACTGGAGTCCTCACAATGGGATTATTATTGCACAGTAATTAAAATGCCGTCCTTAAATAAACTCAGTTAATAGGGAGTCTGGTTGTGTTGTGACATTGTTTCAGGTGGGGTAATGGCATGTATTGCACTGTGAAGTGATGGGGCAGGCAGGCATGCTGCTGCTGGCAAGGAACAAGGGCAGGGACAGCTTGTGCAGCTGGTGATGCAGTCACTGGGAGGGAGTTATTGTCGATACCCCTTGACTAATTCATCTAGTCTGTGGCCTGGCACACAGAGCCAGAGGTACAAGCTACTGAGTGAGGGGCTCTCTAATGCCTGTCCCCTTCCAGAGCCTGCCTTTACTGCTGGCAGAAGGGCCCAGAGGCCTGGCCCTGGCTGCCCTGTCCCCATTCCATGCCACTCAGCTCTCCCTTCACAGCAGTGTTGTGCATCTCCCCATAAACACCATCAACACAGGTGATAGAAACTGTAAACTTTAACACAACTGTAGAAAGATGTGTCTGACAGCCCAGCACTGTCTCCACAAAGAACCTCTTTCTAGGGGCTTTTCCCTAGAAACACCCTGCTCAGTCCAAATCTCAGCTGTGGTTACCAGCAGCAATAGTGACCTGGGCTACTCCTGAGCACAGTGGTTGTAAAAAAGGTCTGTCAGGCACAGGCATGCCGAGGATGGGCTCTCCCAGCTGCCAGCAAACCTGTGGCAGCAGAAGGGCTCCAGCAGCTGTCCCAGCTCAAGCAGCAGATGATGGCAAAGACCTGCAAAACCCTGCAGCATGCTGCTGCTACAGGGAGCCCTTCAACATCCCAGGGTGCTCCCTGCAAGCTGGCAACTTGGCAAAGGCACATCTGCCCCAGCACAGAGGGTCACTGGGAGTGTGTGGGGGCATAGCGACGCTCGAACTGGTCGACATCAAACTTGCGCTTGCAGCCAGCGTAGTTCATGTAGCGAATCTTCCCAAAGATGGGCCGCTCCGCCCAGCCCTGGTCGTGAATGCCGCAGATGGACCACAGGCAGCCTGCCAGGCACAGGGATAGAGGTGTCAGCTCTCCCCCTTGCTCGAGGCACCCAGAAAGCAAATGGGATGTGGGTGCAAAGCAGAATGGGCTGGAGTTGCCTGTAGAGAGCCCCCACTGAAGCCTTGGCTATCACAGCTCCCACCCCGTGACCCCATCCTGCAGCTTGCCTACATATCCATTGGGGTCCCTCCCGTCCAGCTCGTAGCGGTCATTGAGGTAGATGGCAAACTGCAGGGCCTCCTCAGGGGAGTGTGTCCACTCCAGGATCTTCTTGGCCCAGTACATCCGCAGGAAGCCATGCATCTTGCCCTCCTGGACCATTTGCAGCTGTGGGGATAGAGACAGCCATAAGGGTCAGCCCATGGCAAATCACCTCTGCACCTCGGAAAAAAGCTCAGCATTTTGTGGGGAAGATGTAGGGCAGTACCTGGGCAGCGTTCCAGAGTGGGTCATGTGTGGTACCCTGCTCCAGCTCCTGCAGACTGTACAGATAAGGCCTCTTGTCTTTGGCGTGGAGCTTCAGGGTGGTTTGTGCCCAGTCATAGGCACCTGTGAGCAAGAGATGAGGAGCAGCACTGAGCAACCTGTTCTAAGAACAGAGCTACTGAGGGCACTCGTCAGCTTCTGTCCTACCTCCCGAAGAGACCAAATGGTGGGACATTAGTGCCCCCACAGCCCTTCTCCTAGCAGAACTGGGATTGCCAAGTTGGAGTGACCAGTTGGGTACCCAGCATGGCCCACGTGACCCAGAATGTTACCCTGCACACTGTCGTAGTTCTCGTTGTAGTAGCAGAAGTTTTCAGCCAGCTCCCGCCGCACCACAGCCTCCTCCACAAATGCATCCACTGAGTCCTTGTAATTGCGCCGGTGCTTCTGCACCTCCAGGATGGCTCTTTGGGTGGAAACCTGGCCTGAGGACATGGGGAAGGAGCAAGTCAGGATGCTGGTCCAAGCCACAATGCTCAGTCCTGCTGCAGAGTGGGAAGCCTGGGATACTCACCGAAGTGAAGCCACGGGGACAGGTTGCTGAGAGCCGCCTTGTTGGGATCATTCCTGTGGGTGCTGAAGGATTTCAGCCGCTCTGCAATGAAGGACTTCAGCACAGCCATCCCTGCAGCTGTACCAGGGGTTGCCCACTCCACCTCCTTCACGGAGTGGTCCACCTGCAAGGTGGAATAACAGGCCTCCCAGGCGATGGGCTGGGTGGCGACCAAGTGGTGAGTGCATCTGCAGAATCTTTTCAGCAAGCCCTGAGTGTTATGTCCCCAGTCCATGCCAGCCTCCTCCTCTTAACTAGGCCTCTGCACAGCAGAGATGTGGGAATTGAAAGAATGAGGTGGGAACCTCCCTTTTCCCAGGGCATCCTCATCTCCATACCATCTGTGTGTGACCGAAGGCAGGCCACTGTCCTCATTCCCTGCCAACCCCTCCCAGGATCACAAAGGACCTCTGAAACTCTCTGAGACCTGGCCATAAATGGGTTTGGAGTGTCTCCCGCTGGTACCTCTGCTGGGCAGGAGGGCGGATGTGGGTGACGAACAACAGGGGGAAACTCGGTGAGGAACTCGGGGAGCTGAGCGTGGATCTTGCCCCGGATGGTCCTGGCACTGTACTCCTGCTTGGGGGAGGCAACCCAGCAGGGCACGATGTTGTGGGCATCAACCTGGGAAGCAAAGCCGTGGAGAAGGGTGTGAGAAGCATACAATCCTGACAATATGACACACCTGCTCTCTGCTCAACTCCAGTGTGCAAGACACAGGAGACAAGTTTGTCCCACATCTCAGCAGTCAGTTTTCCATTCCCAGAGTGCTGGCACCCACCTGTGCAAATGGCACATCCTCTGGCAACTGTTCCCTGACGTCCTCTACCCACTGCCGGGGGAGGCGGAGGGGACTGAAGTCTGTCACCAGCCCACCCACGCCATGCTCTGCCACAAACGTGGGCAACACATCCTTGGCATAGCCCAGCAGCAAGTGGAAGGAGATGTTCAGTTCTGCACACTCCTGCAGTGACAGGGAAATGGCTGTGGGACAGTTCATGGTCTGCAAACCCCACCCAACCACCATCTGCTGAAGGGAGGGATCTGCCTCCCCCCTTCCCTAGGAGCCCCGTCCCACCTAGCATGGGCATCCCCTGGCTGTACCTCTGCTATCTCCTGCAGGCCCCTCAGCATGAACCTGTAGTGGCGGATGGTGGCCTCCAGAAATTTGGGCACCAAGCAGAAGCAGACGTGCAGAGGCAGCTCCTGTTTGAGGGCCAGGCGCTGGGCGTAGAGGAAAGCCCAGTTATCTGGGAGGGAAGTACACAGGGCAGCGTCAGGAGGGTGCTCCACTGACAGGATGGGGATGGGGTTTCACAGGGGGTTTCCCCCCAACCCCTCCCTGTAGAGAGTGGGACCAGCACCAAAGTTACCAAAGGAGGGGACCAGCGCTTTTACCACCCATGAGAGCCCCTTCCACCAGCTGGTACCTTGCACTCGCTGATCCCGGCACATCCAGTAAAGGATGCACCGAGCATCATCCTTCAGGTCCGAGCCCTGCGAGACAAGACGAACCCGCTTTTTGTTGTACTTGAACTCTCGAACGGACGGGGCCGCCCTCCGACGGGCCTCCTGTATCGCCTCCTCTTCCTCCGTCCTCCTCCGAGACACGCACGGCGCCTCGGTGACCTCGGCCTTTCGCTTCCCACGTCCCCGCCGCATCCTCAGCACCGCCCGGAGCAGCGTGGCTGCGAGCGGCCACTGCGAGAGGAAAACGGGCCGTACTGAGCCGCCGAGCTTCCTCGCGAATCCCGGGCCGCGGTCCGCCCCCGGAGCCCGGGGGATGCTGGTTCCCTGCCCAGCCTGCTCCTCGGGAACGGGGGAATAACGGTGTTACGGCCCCCGCTCCGCTCCTGGTCCCGATACCTGGGATCCCGATCCCGATCCCTACCTGGCAGCCACGCGGCCCCCGAGTGTTACACAAGCCGTGGGCGGGTGCGAAGGGCGTGCCCATGGGTGTGGCCGTGTCCCGAGGGGCGCGGCTCCGCCGCCGGGACCGCCCCCCGCACACGGGCGGAGGTGCTGCAGCGATGGCCCCGTGGCGCTGCACCTGCCCCGGGAGGGGTGTCAGTGCGCGCTGGTGCCTCCCCTCCCTGCGCCCGGGAACAAGGAAGCAGCTCTGACTGCCTTCAGCCATCACTCGGTACCAGGGGTTCCCTGCTGTTCCCTGCTGGCACCTTCCCCATGCCCTGTGTCCTCAGGTCCCGCACCACTCAAGGCATTGGGGTGCTGGTTTTGGACATGAGTCGGGGCACGGGAGGGCTGCCCCTGCTGCTGCTGCTGAGCCTTGCTGTGCTGGATCTCCCACTGGGTAAGGGCTGAGCGGTATGTGGAGCTATCCATGGGCTGGGGGTGAGTGAGGACCATTGTTCTCTAGGGTGGTGGGTGGCCCTGGGGTGACTTCACCCATAGAGGGGAAACACTTTGGGTGCTGTTTGCTCCCCAACATCTCAGCCCTGTCCTAGTGAGCAAACAGGGCAGTGCTTTATAGAGCACAACCAGCAAGCTCTATTTCTTTTGCCTCTGATGTGGGTCTCCATCTGGGGAGAGAAGATCTTAGGCCCAGCTGGACCCCCTTGCTGAGCCTTGGGCCTTGCTGGGCTCATTGCCTTTGCTGCAACCTGCACAGTAGCACCAAATGGCCCTGCTCAGATGGCAACCTCACTGGGATGGACTAGGCCTGGAAAACTTCAAATGCCATCCCAACATTTGTACTTGATACGAAGTAAGAGCAGTCTTGAGTGGAGCACTGGGAATAAACCCAGTTTGTACCTCCTGAGAGCCTTGAGCTCCTGCTGCACCCCTCAACCCCCTCCCCCCAGAGCTTTTGTGCGCTGCAACAAGTCTCTCATAGACTTGCCCTGAGCTGCAAGCTGAGATTTTTTCCTTTGTGGGCCTAGTTCCACAAAGCACTCCCCCGTTGCCGTTATTTACACCCACTGCTATCAGTTCCTGACTATCTGCAGCACAGAGGGTTTGTTTAAACTGCTGCTGCTGCATTTCCAGACCGTCTCACGGTCACCAGTTCCTGCTCAACTCTTCCTGTCAGACGGGTTTGTCTGACTTCCTCCAGGGATGGGTGAAGATGGTGGAATGGGTCTCAGGACTGGCGCCTAGAGGAGTTTCTGCCCCAAAACCAGCGATGGCCATGGCTTGTTCCTGCTTTGTCAGGCTGGGCATTTATGTGGTCTGCCTGGCTGATTGCCATGTTGCTAGTCAGGGAATCCACGTGCTTGATCCATACAGGACAGGGAATCCCCACTCCTGATGATCCATGGCTGATGCAAGACTTGGGCAGTTCATGGTGATAGCACAGCCTTCCACTGCCAGCCCTTGTGTGCTGTTTCCCACCTCTTTACAGGGACCACTGTCAAAGGTATGACAAATCCTACATCCCTGACTCTCCCAACCTCCTTGACACCCACAGAGACCATGGCACTGCTGCCCAACACCAGCTCAAGCACTGCAGCCACCTTCCCTTCCTCTCATCCTACAACCTCCACCCCAGAGATGCCAATGGATGCCTTCACATCCAGTGTTTCTGCAGCTCACCGGAGCAGCCTGGCAGCATCTAACGTCACCACAGCAAAGGCAAGGGGCAGCACAGCTCACAGCACTCCTGTGTCACCTGGGCTGGGACCCACCACCACCAGCAGTACTCCAGCAGGGCTGGGGGTCACCACCACCAGCACACCAACCTCTGTGGCCATGACACCCAACTGTGACAAGACTGCCACTTTCACGTCTATGGGGACCAGCACAGCCCTGGCTGTCAGCTCATTTGGAGTTGAAATGAGCATGCTGCGTCCCCCCACCTCTTCTCTTCTCTCCTCCACCAGCACCAGCACCCATCGAGGGCTAGCCATGACCACACTGCTTGGCAGCACATCCCCAGGGACCAGCACTGCCTCTTTTTCCACCACCTCAGGAGTGACAGACACTTCAAATAGGCCCTTGATGACCCCATCAGACACCATGGCCTTCCTTGTTACCACCACAGAGGTCCCTGGGAACACCCCTGTTCCCCGCCAGCCAGCTGGGATCATGCCTAGGACCATCCCTGGTACCTCCACCCCAACAGAACCAGAGACCCGCAGTGGCACTGCAGGTGAGTGCAGCTACAGGCACCCAGAGGGCAGGTTCAGGGTGGTAAATCCCCACGCGATCTCCCATCTTGCTCAGCCAGGCACTTGGCTTCTTCCCCCAGGGGCCACCCAGTCTCCAGGCTCTGCAGGCACGTGGGTGGGTCCCAGGCTGGGGACCTGTGCTGTGGTGTGACAGTAGTGCCATGTGGCTGTGCCCTCGGCACTGGGCCTGTATGAACACACCCTCTGGACAATCTATGGACCCTGCACCCCAAGGAGTGTGACTGTACCTGTGTACAGACCTGCTGTATCCTCACAGAGTACCTGCACCCTGGTCCGATGCCTACGGTGTGAGAGCACCTCATCAGAGTGCCGGTACCCTGGTGATGGCCTCTGTGTGCCTGTGCCCTGGCAGTGCCCCCATGTAGCTGTTCAGCAGTGGGGTGCTTATGCCCCGACAATCCTCCAGCATGCCTGCCTGCCTGTGGAACACCAACACCTGGCCCAGGGCCTGCAGGCGCCTCCGAGTGCTCTTGTCCCTGACCCTGTGAAGAAGGAAGCAGCCCCAGCTGTCAGCAGTGCACTTCAGCCGTGATACGCCGTGACACGGGGAAGTGATGCCTGTACAGACAGCCCAGGGGACAAACCCTCAGCCTGGAGCACGCCCTTCCTGAGCTCCGCCTGTTCTCTTGGCCAGTTCCTCGCTCTCAGACAGAGCTGGCTGGTGTCTCCTGAGGGCGTTGGTGCTGGGAGCCATCACCAAATATCACCCCTGTGGTGAAGTGCGGGCTTCCAGGCAGCCTGGCTCATCTCTGGGCTTTTTTCCCTTGTCACCCTCCCACAGCAGGCAGAAGACAGCCACGGGAGCCAGGTCTGTGGTAGTGGTGGCCTCGGTGGCCTGCCCTGCCCACTTTTTGTGGCTGTTCTGGGTCCGGCTGTGCAGTTGATGTTTGCTGGGCATTGCACCAGTCCCTGGGAGTGTCCGTGTCAGGCGGAACCCACTGCCTCACTGCCAGCACCTGGAGGGTAAAAGGACCCACCTGGATGCTCCTCCTCTGCTGGGTGAAGGAGACGTGGAAACCCCAGTGCTGGGGCTGTGGGGAGCACTCAGAGCGGTGCCTGCGGGGGTTTGTCAGCTCCCGCTCACCTGGACATGGCTGGGCAGAGAGGGGGGCTGTCCCTGCCCGGGCCCCTGCTGCTGCTGCTGAGCCTCACCTGCCTCGCCGTGCTGCACCTGGCTCTGGGTAAGGGTGAGCGGGATGCGATGCTCTCCACAGGGTGGGGGGTGAGCGGGGAGCATCATTCCCCAGGGAGGAGGGGTGGCACTGGTGGAATGCTGTGGGGGCTGTTTCCTGCTTCTTGAATGGGAAGCAGAGGTGGACTTGCTGCTTCTCCTTTTGTGATGATGAGGCCCTTCTGTGCAGACACTCACCTGGCAAGGGCTGGGGCCAGACCTTTGCCTTTCTCTGTATTTTTATTTAACCAGCTGCTGTGTGCAGGGAGGGCATGGCTGCCAGGGGCTTTGGAAATTTCTGGCTGGGTTGGCTGAAAGCAGATGTCAGCTTGTGGTTTGGTTTCCTGTCCTCATGAGAGCAGAGCCTCAAACTCACTGGGTTTGTGCTGGGATCACTGGGGAATCCAGTCTGCTATCCCAAAGCCACCACCTCACAGACACCCCTTGACAAAGGTCCAGGCAGCCAGGCTGTCCTACCTATCCTTTGGAGAGGATTACTGATCCCTGGGCTTTTCTGGGGACAGCACACTGCTCCAGTACAGTCCTTAGTGGAAGACAGGTCAGCCCTCCTGCATCCCACCCCCTCCTCCCAGAGCTTTTGTGGGTCACAGCACGTCTCTAAGGGCTCATCCTGAGCTGCAAGCTGGGATTTTTTCCTTTGTGGGGCTGCTTCCCCCTTTGCCATTATTTACACCCACTGCTATCAGTTCCTGACTATCTGCAGCACAGAGGGTTTGTTTAAACTGCTGCTGCTGCATTTCCAGACCGTCTCACGGTCACCAGTTCCTGCTCAACTCTTCCTGTCAGACGGGTTTGTCTGACTTCCTCCAGGGATGGGTGAAGATGGTGGAATGGGTCTCAGGACTGGCGCCTAGAGGAGTTTCTGCCCCAAAACCAGCGATGGCCATGGCTTGTTCCTGCTTTGTCAGGCTGGGCATTTATGTGGTCTGCCTGGTTACACCCATTGAAGAGATCTGAGTGTTTGATCCATACAGGACAGGGAATCCCCACTCCCAATGCTCCATGGCTGATGCAGCTCTGAGTTCCTGGGAACTCACTGTGGTGGTAATGCTGCACCATCCCCAGCACAGCCACAGATTCAGCCTTTCACCACCACCCCTTGTGCATCTCATTGTCCCAACTCTTTGCAGAGACCACTGCCATGGGTGTGACAGCAACTGTGTCCCCAGCTCTCCCTACCTCCTCAACACCTATGGAGAGCTCAGCACTGCTGCCTACTACTGACTCCACCACCACAGCTACCCTCCTTTCCTCCAGCCCTGAAACAGAAGCCTCCACCTCAGAGGAGTCCAGCACATCTGCAGAGACTGGCAACACCTCGCCTCCCACTGTGCCTTCTCCCACCACAACTACAGAAGATTCAGCCGAGTCCTTGGCAACCCTGGCAGATACCACAGCCAGCCCTGTTATCAGCACATCAGACCCCATGAGCACTCCCTCTTCAAGCTACCCAGACAGGACCACCCCTGAAATCTTCCCCTCGACTGTGGAGTTGACTCCAGGTACCCTGACAGTATCTGGGAACCCCAGGGCAGCCATGGGTGGGTTCAGCTGGGGGGCACCTGAAGGCAGGGACATGGTCAGGGTGACAAATCCCCATAGGAATCCCAGGTCTTTGGGTGGCTTCACATAGGCAGCTTCACTTAGGCCTGTCCCCAGCTGCAGGAGCATCCTGAACCTCTGCAGACAGCACTAACCTAACATTGCTTTGCCCAGGCACTGAACCCACTTCCCCTGCCACCAGCTCAGCCCAGACCTCAGAGGCTCCTACCCTCAGCACACCTACAGACCTGCCAACGCTGCCACCAGTCTGCCCCTCTGGCTCGTCCAACACCAGTAAGTGCAGTGCCCATGGGCATCACCACCCCAGCATCACTGCTTGGGGCCAGTGCAGGGGGTCCTGGAGCCCCACTCCTCTTGCTGTGCCCTCAGTGTGGAGGTGCTGATGCTTTGGGGTACATGTGGTTTGCTGTACAGCTTGTTCTGACAGTGTAGTGTGTTCATGACACAATTAACCTGGGAGGACGTTCCTTGTCTGTGCCAGCAACCCTGGGGAGACACCCCCAGGTCCTCTGACACAGCTCAGGGCTCAAGGGAAATAACCAGAGTCCTATTTTCAATCCCTAGGTGCATCTCACCTCTTTCTGTCTCTGCGGCTAACCACCCCTCTGGACATGGGGAACACCACGGTGCAGGAGCTGGTGTTGTCCAAGGTGAGGTGTGCAGGAGGAGATCCCACTCTGCATCTGCCAGCTGTGGTTCATTCAGGGAGGGGAATGGCTGCATCTTGCACTGAATGTCCTCCAGAGCCCTTTCAGATTAAGGGGAGACCCTCCTTTGTCTGCCATAGTCCAGGATCAGGCCCTTTCTGTGTGGGGACAGGGGTTAGGAAGCCCCCCCGGCACAGTTTGATGTCTATTCTTTCCCCGCAGCTCCGTGAGGACCTGCAGACAGCATTCCCGTGTGCTGGCCTGGCACTGGCGTGGCGAGGGAAGAGGAGGACTTGACCGCTGCCCCTCGCCCGGCCTGCTCCTGCCTGGATTGCTGGGACCCCTGCTCCCAGCCCCTCACTCCATGGTGGTACAGGCCCCTGGGGAATCCCATACAGCTCCTCCTGGACCTGGAGCCTCCTGTTCTTCACTCTGTACCCCGAGAGGACCCCCAGTGCCCCTTCTGCCCCGTCCCACAGCCTGTCTGAAGAGCCTGAGCCTTCCCACCACCCTGCTCCAGACCTGATTCCTGTGGTGGGACCCCCTCCAGGTCTGCTGGGGGGCTGGGAGAAGGGAACCCCACGGGACTGGGCTTTTACATCTGGGAGTGAGCTGGCTCAGCCATCAAAGCCACCCTGGGGACAGAGGAATGAGAGGAAGGAGACCTGAAACCCCCAGTACTGCTGTGCCCAAGGCTCACCTGTGATATTGCTGAGAGAGGAGAACACCCATGCTGGGCAGTAAATAGAAATTCCATGTTTTTCTGTGTTGAAGTAATGACTTCTTTATTTTCCAAGTTGCCTTTCCTCATTTTCAGCTTTGCCATGTATTGGAAGTAGCGGTGAGGAAAACTGAGTCCCAAGACCTTTGCATGGCTAGATGGGCTCAGTGCTGGCTGATGGCTCAGCACTCTGGCAGACTAGTGGTCTCTGCTTTGGGGCTCTCTGCCCCATGGCACCCCACAGCTGCCCTGTGCACTGTGGAGCTGTGGAAATCCCATGGGCAGTGCTCCTTCCCTGTTTTTTCCAGTCCCCAACTAAGGAGAAGGCTGCAACATCTGTCCCCCTGCAGCAAAGTCATTTATTAACTGATTAAATAGCCAGATAAAATCCAACTGAAGCAATTATTAGCCTAAACGAGCCACCTCACCTGGAGATTGAAAACTGAAATAATTAGCAAAATAGCCTTGTTGCGTGTCAGGGGTTGTTTTTGGCTGATCCCTGCTTCTCACTGGCAGCCCTCACTGCCCTGGCACAGGGAGGGCTGGGAGGGGGTTTGTGGGGCTGTGGGATTCCTAACCTGGGGACTTCTCTCAGGCTGCCTGGATTGTCAGCCGGCTGGGAAGGAGCCAGCATCTGGACAGGATGGGGAGAGACACTGTGGGATCACCCAGCTGCCTGCCAGTTCACAGGGCCTGGGAGAGGCTGGGCTGGAGGCTGTGCCTGGGCAGCTTGTCAGGATGCTCCCATTTGGGGTTCCCCTTGCATTCCAGGGAGGCCCCTTTGCTCTTTTGGATGCTGCCTGGGTTTTGTGGGCTTGTTGGAGCCATTGAGACTGAGAGAGCTCCCTTAGCAGCTGGGCAAGGAGCCGGGGAGCAGGGCAAAGCCTGTTGGAAGGGGTCCCTGTGCTGGCTGTCTGGTGGGGTGCTGGGAAAGAAATCCTTGTGGTCTGCCTACGCCTTGGAGCTGGGCCAAGAGTCCTCCCACGTCGCATCCCACTGGGCTGTTTTCTCCGGCTGTTGAATCCATAACTTCAGACCCCGGGACATGGCTGAGTGCCAAGGCTGGGGTAATGGAGCCAAACTGCGTCACAAAGGGAGGAAAAGGTCCTGAAGTGCTGGGATGAAAAGGTGACCAGGGTACTCACTGTTCTCTGCTGGCACAGCTGCCTTCCACCCTTATCGTGGTTGGGGGGCTGTGTGGGGAGGAGATGCCCTGGTGCCCTGTCCTAGGGGGACACCCTAAACCAGGACATCCCCTCTGCCACCAGCCTGAGAGGGACAAGAGGGACACAGTGGGAGGATGTGGCTCCCATGGGAGTGGTGTCACTGCCCAGGCAGTGGTGGCACAGAGCTCTGACAAGCCCCTGACACTGCCTGTACTCTCTGTGCCTGCTGTCCTTGAGGTGCCACCTTCACCCCGTGGCTGCTTGCCTGCCACAGACTGCTGACCAGAGGGGCTTGGGAGGCTGGAACCAAGTCCTGCTGCTTTCCCAGTCCACAAGAGTTCTCAGCCTCTCTGCTGTAATACACTCCAATCCCTCAGCATTGTCCAAAGGAACAAATCTTGTGCCCAGTGTGACTGTCACCTTTGGAGGATCTGGCAGCATCATGAGGCATGTCTCAAGTCCCTTATGACTCAGTTGTCCCTTCCAGTGCCCCCTTCCCTTCACCGTGCTGCTGGCTATAGCCCAGCTCCCACTCTTTGGCAGGAGGGTGTCGCAACACACCCAGCATGCCAAGTCATCCAGAACCTTTGGGGTTGATGGATAACCTGGTTTTCCCCATTGCCACCCCTGAGCCCTCTCCAAATGCCCTTGCCAGGAGGCTGGAGGGGAGCCAGTAGGAGATGCTGTGTTCTCCACAGGACTGGAACAACCAGCCCATTAATTCCAGGAAAGCTGATAAGGCACTGTGCTGGGCCATGCTCTGCCATGCTGGATGGCGCAGAGCCCCTGGGTGCTGGGATTCATGGAATTGCCCCCTGGCTACAGGCTCCTGCAGGGTTCCAGTGCCCACATGATGCTTTGGTCTTTGGTAACAACAGATTAATGACTCTTACAGGAACCAGCACTTTGCCAGGACCTTGGTTTCAGACATAGCAAAAAGATCAATAAAAAGCCCCTTCCCAGAGTGATAACAGGGTACTGTCCTCAAGATGAGGCTTCCCTTGGTGGCTCTGGGCATTCTTGGGATGGTGTGCCAATGCCTGAGCAGAGGGATAAGTTGGGTTTGTCAGCCCTGTGACTGCTGGGAGATGGGCATTTCTGGGGGCCAGCATGGGCAGGAGTTGCAGGCACGAGGGTCTCAGACAGTGCTGGCCTCTGAGGAGCACAGAGAGGAGCTTGCAGGCAGGCTGGGGCCAGCACCTTTCTTCAGCTGAGTTGTTTTCCTCTATGCTGAGCAACATGTTTGCAACAATCCCTGTGGTTCCCACCACATTTTGCACCTCAAACACCATCTGGAGCAACAGTCTTCAGCGTCAGCATGTGTTCCCTGTTGGGGTTGCTTTCCAAAGTGATACAGCATCGTCAGCACAGGCAGGAACTGCTCTCCCACGGCAGGTTTACATCTCTCAAATGCTCCATCAGCCCTGGTGTGGTCACTGCTCAGGTGGTCACTGATGGGTCAGTCACCCCATGATCTGCAGTGCAAAACCTCCAGTGCACTGTCCCCCCCCAGCTTCACACCCACAGTGGCATTTTTGGTGGGCAGGTGTTTAGTTCCAGGTGAGTGGCGCTGCCCCCCGGTTTATGGTCTGTGCCCTGTTCCCACTGCCAGGGGTAATGTGTGGGTGTTACAGGATGGTGCTTGATCAGCCGTGACTTGGCCTCCGCGGGCAGTTCCCCATCCATGCTGCCTGGTGGTGGGTCGGGGTGTCACTTGGTGTGCTGTGCCCGACTTCAGCAGGACACTGTGTACTGCCTAACACCCCTCATAACACTTTGCAGGAGTTGCCTGGGGGCATTTCTGGTTAAGGTGTGTTTAATTGACTACAAAACCGTGTAGTGGTGGGAGTTTGCATAATGCTGTTCACAGGGGAGCTGGCAGCAGTTCTCAAGGGGGTGTGCAGGAATTGCTGCTCCAGGAGGAGGGGGGTGAGACATAGGGGTGAAGTGACTCAGGGGATCCCCACAGCAGGGAAGGGGGTCTTGGTCTGTTCCTTCTCCTGCTCCATTCTCTGGAGATGCTGGTCTTGCATTCCAGCCTTGCAGAGAAGCTTTCCTGGATCATTTACCCCCTCCTAGCACCCCAGCACAGCTGTGCCCAGGCTGAGGTGCAGGTTTCAAACCCCACTGGCATGTGCTGGGGCTCTGAACCCAGTGCTTCTGGTTGCTGCTGAGCACTGTGGAGCTCCACTGACACCCCAGGGCCTGACCCCAGCCATGCTTCTCCCTGCTTTATAACCTGCCTCTGCTCCCAGGGACCCAAGTGGAGACTTGTGTCCTGCCTTGCTCTGGGCTGAGACATGGCTCAGCTGGTGATTTTAGTGTCCATGGTGTCCTCACAGCTGACACCAGCTGGCATTGCCCTGTCACCACCACATACTGCTCTGTGGCCTCATACCCTGCATGTGGAGCAGGTTCTGTGGGGTCTGTGGGGTGACTGCCATGCCACTGTTGGCAGTGCCACGCACTGCTCTGGGCTCAGCTTCACCTTCAGGTGCTGGCAGCCCAGGGAGCTGCACCAGCCTGCACCCAGCTCCCTGGGGAGACGTGGGTCCCTGCAGGGTGGGCTTTGGGCACACCCCAGCCCATGCCCCACCTGAACAAGGCATCCAACCCTTGGGAAGGGGAGGGCTCCACCGGAAGGGAAGGGTGACAGGGACATTGGAGGGAAGGGAGCGGGGGCGGGAGAGGACGTCGGCAACCTGCCTCCTTCTGCCATCCCTATAAATAGGAGGGAGCAGGAGCACCTGTGGGACTCCAGCTCTGCAGGAGAGGAGGGCAGGGAGGGACGGAGGGAGCTGCACCTTGCTGCTCTCTCCTCCCTTTGAGCTTCCTAGTGCTCTGCCTGTGTGGAGGCCTGAGGCATGGGGACCAGGGGATGGACGCTCTCCACCTTCCTGGGATGCTGCACATGGATTCTGCACGGTACGTCCTATATTTTTCTGCTAGCCCATGTGCTACCCGAGCCCTGTCAGGGTGCAGCAGGTACACTGTGAGATGCCTTTCACTCCTGGCTGTACTGGAAACTCCTCTTTCGACCAGTCCTTTCAAGGCATTGCAGCCAAAGAGCTGGAAAAGCATTTTACAGGGCAGGCATCACCCCAAGGGGCTGGCTGCAGGCGTGGAGCCGTGGGAGAGATGAGAGCCCGGCCCGGAAGCCTGCAGGCAGCTGTGTACCCCTCCAGCAAAGGAGCCAAGGGAAGCCAGCTGGCAGAGCAGGAACAAGGGATGCTCCCACCCCTCCCACATCCCAGGGAAGAGCAAATGCTGGTGCTCAATGCTGGAGCCCCTCTCACACAAACTTCCTATGAATGAGTGTGTGGGGAAGATGGTGTTTCCTGCTCCACACTGAAGAATTAAGATAAAACAGGGATTTACCCTGTTTTTAGGGTGAGAATTAGGGGTGAGTGGGCCAGACTGAACTGGGTGACTTGACTGATGTACTTTGTTTTCCCTGAGATGGGGGACAGAAGCTGCTGTGTTCCTTTGGCTGAGGGGGCTGGTACAACGAGCCTTTTCCAGCCAGGGAAGATGACACTGAAGCAGCCTGCCAGGAAAGGGAATGTGGGTCTAGCAGAGGATGGACCCCTCGAGGACTGGTCTGGCACAGGAGCTGATGTTCATTAATGACCCTGCACAAGCTATCTGGGAGCTAACGAGCTGAGCTGGCGGTGAGGTTGGAGGCACCTCTGCTGCAGGGAGATCTGGCCGCCTGTCAGGGGGAACCTGACAAACTGGAGCACCAGGATTGGGAACAGGCTGGGGCTGTCAGGCTGCGGGAAAGCCCTGCTGGATCTTGCCATCAGGGTGCCCTCCGTCTCCCCTAATTGAAGCTCCCTAAAGCCAAGCGTCAGCAGATCCACCCGGCTCCTCACGGAGCCGACGGCGGCAGCCTGGTCACCCCAGAGCCTGCGTCCCTGTCCTAAAAATAAGACCGTGTGAGACGCCACCCATGGGTGCCAGTTCTGGGATGGGTTCTGGGAGACACGTCTGAGATGTGGGCAGGTGTCTCCTCCTTTCAGGAGAGCTCCTGGATGTGGGTTAGGATTTTGGCAGCAGGAAGAGAGAACTGTAAGCAGGGCTTGGTCCTGGGAGATTGCAAATATTCCCTGGGCAGGGAACCCCTGGTGCCTTCAGTCAGCTGGAGGCAAGAGGGATGGGGCAGGAGCAGGCAGGTGCCCAGCCCAGGAGAGTTTTATTGAACCTGCTTTAAGTGCAGCAGATCAGAATCCATCTGCAGTCAGGGAAGGCTTCCCTAAGCCTTGGCTTTTCTGTCTGACAGTGGGCTTTGGGTAAAGTTATTTAAATGTCCCTCAGACACCCGAAAGGTGAAAAAACCACAGAAGGCCCCCAGGCTGTGCAGAAGTGACTGTGCTCAGAGCTGTCCCTGCAGTGATGGAAAGAGGGCTGAGGGTTGCCCTGAGGTGGCAGAGCTGCACAGACACCCCCAGGGCTATGAACTAGACTTACTGGGCTCCAGCTCTACCCAGTGGCCGGGCATCCCATGACTAGACTGGGTTTCAGCAGCTGCTTTTGCCTCCATGCTTGCACCAGTGCCTCTCCCTGACCTGTGGTGAGTTGTGTCCTGTCTCAGCTGCCAGCTGCTGATGCTGAAGACGCAAGAGGTGCTGTGCAGTGCTTTACCCAAGGCAGCCCACACTGCACTCCTTGGCTTTTAAATCAGGGCCTTGTAAGGCTATGGGATGAGGTAGAAGAGGTTTAAGAAGTGGTGGGAGCTTTATGATTCTCACAGAGAGGTGTCTGAGCCTGGCAGGCTGCCAGCTCTCACTGTAACACTCCACTTTGTGCTTCTCTGCAGGGCTCGGGGCTGTTGCTGCTGTTCCTGTCACTACCGATGGGTCCTTTACTGTGGGGACAGCTTTCCCCATGGCAACAGAGGACAAGTGGCCCCATACTACCCTCACAACAGAGATGAGCTCCACAGCAGCTGATGCTGATACCTTCCCTCCCTGGACTGAGACGGATCCAGTGACGGTGACAAGCGAACACAGCTCCTCGGTGCCAGCTTCGGTGAATGGGACCCAGGCTCCTAACACCACTCAGAGTACTGAGGGAAATTCATCTGCTCCCAATATGGCCACAACTGCTGCTGCCATCACCACACAGCACCCTGCTGTCACCCCAGAAGCAGTGCATGATGAGCTAGATGTCCCTCCTGATGTCCCTCTGGGGACCACCCCTGTCATTGAGGATGTCAAGGGCATCCCTGCAAACAGAGAAGGAGACACAGACCTCAGTACTGGCACTACCTCCCTCCCCACCACCTCTCCACTGGCAGTCACCTGGGTGCCAGAGCCAGCTGCTGGTGTCACTGTGCTGCTGAGCCAAGGGCTGACCACAGGCCAGGAAGCAGTTGAGGAAGGAGTAATCCTGCCTGAAGCTATTCAAGGTGAAGCCAGTGCCAACTCCTCAGGCTCCAGTCCTGATGCCAGGGAGCTGCTTCCAGCCCAGCAGGATGGAGCAGTGGGCGGGGTTGAGGGCATTAACCCAGAGCCAGCAGGAGAAATGGCCCCAGCTGGTGAGGAAAGTCCTTTGGCTTCAGAATCTGGAGATGCAGGAGATGCAATAAATGGTGAATTCAGCACAACCAGCCCATCCAACGTTCCTCCAGAGAGCCCAGCGATGTCAGGAGCAGTGGAAAACCCTGAGGAGTCCTCCCTCCTCCCTGGCCAGGCACTGAGCCCAGACATTTCACTGACACCATCCAACGGTGGGGATGGGGATGGGGATGGGGATGGGCAGGGAGTTCCTGGGGTGTCATCAGAGCCTTCTGGTTCAGCCTTGTCACCTGCAGCCAGCAGGGCACCAGTGGCACCTGAGGAAACAGAGGACACTGCCACCTCACTGCCAGGCCCAGAGGTTCCCACTGATGCAGAGAGTGACACAAATCTCCCCGTCTCAGCCACTGCACTGCCCTCAGGTGATGTGGGAGCTGTGGATCTGGCCAGTCCATCTCTCCAGCCTACTCCATGGCAGACCCACACTGGAGAACCGCTGCTTCCTGATGCTCTGACATCCTCCACAGACACCCCCAGTGCTCCTTGGGCTGCTTACCCAGCCCCAGAGGCTGGAGTCAGAGCCCTGCCTGACACTGATGGTGCAGCAGAGACACCAGCAAGTCCTGACCTCGCTACTGGCCCAGAAGCAGCCGTGTCTCCATCTCTTGGGGAGTCACAGCCCGCTGGGATGCTGGCTGGAGCTCCCCAGGAGGCCAATGGACTTGACACTGGCTTGAGCTCAGATTCAGATGCCCCCAGCCCAGAGCCTTTTGTACCTGATGGACTGGCATGGCCCACTGCTGGGAGCCAGGTTCAGGGAGCTCAGGGGGTAGGGGACACAGCACAGGCAGGAGGTCCAGGGGATGCCAGTCCCTATGAAGATATCCAGAGTGACATGAGTGCTCCAACCCTTCAGCCCTCAGTATTTCCTGCTGATAATGGAGAACTGCTGACTGGAGGGACAGAAGACTTGGCAAATGCTGAACTTTCCCCCCCATCAGCACTTGGAGATGGAACAGGAGGAGCCCCAGCACTGGGACAAGGGTCTTCACCTGGCTCTGCACCTCCCAGCAATGCTGGAATGAAGCCTGATCTCTCAGGAGTTGAAGGAACAGGGGACCTGCCCAGTGAATCTGCCAGTGTTCCTGGGGCTGTTTTCCCACCCCTGGGGTCTGTGGCTGGCCCTGTGTCTGAGGCAGAGACACCAGTGAGCCCTGACCTCAGTGCTGCCCAGGAAGCACCTGGGTCTCCATCTTTTGGTGGGTCTCAGCCATGGGGAAGAGCAGCTGGTGCTCCCGTGGGATCCGGCCTCCCTGGAGCCAAAGGGCCAGACACCGACTCAACTTCAGCATGGGATGCCTCCAGCTCAGCAGTCCATGGACCAGTAGGACCCCCATCACCTGGCCTTGGGGACCAGCTTGGCACAAATGTGGGGCTGCCAGCAGCAGAAGAGCAAGGAGCCAGCACAGCAGAGCCAGCAGTGGAAGGAGCAGGCAGTGGGATTGAGTCTGAGCCATCCCTGAGCTCCACTGCAGGGAATGGAATAGCAGCTGGGATGGATCAGCTGCCCAGTGCTGGTTTCCCATCCGGTATTGCCTCTCCCAGTGATGTGGTGGCACCTTCTGTGTCAAGGGGTGATGAGGCAGGACTCATGTCATCTGCAGCCCCTGGCCCTGACAGCCTGTCCCCAGCCTCTCCAGATGGTGAAACTGGCCCAGGGCTTAGTCTGGTGCAGGGAGCTGAGGGTGCAGGGGATGTGGCTCAGGCAGGAAACCCAGAGAGTGAAAATCCCAACATGGAGACAAGTTCTTCAGCTGCCAGCCCTCAGCAGGGTGAACTGCCTGGTGCAGGTTCCTCATCTGGTTCAGCCTCTCCCAGTGGTGATGTTGCATCCTCCTCTATTTCAAATCCATCCAGCCTGGGTGCACTTGAAGGAGCAGAGAGTGCTGCTGAAGGTCTTCAGCCCTCCCTGGGTGCTGGCACTGGGGTCCTTCCAGCTGCAGGAGAAGGGGCAAGTGAAAGAGCTGGTAATGGAGGGTCCACAGGCCAGTCCCAGGCTCCTACTGGAATGGGACCAGCTGGTTCAGAAACCCTTGGTGGAGAAACAGGAGGTGTGTTGCAGTCTGCATCTTCTTCCTTGTATACAGAGGGGTCTTCATTACCTGGATGGGCAGGTGAGGCTGCTGATGAAACCAGCCTTCCTGGAGCTGCTGCAGCCGGTGGTGGCTTGAACACAGGCATGGAGACTGCTGGCCCTCAAGAAGCCTCTCTGTCTGCCCCTGGCACTCAAAGTGGTTCCAATACTGAACTTCCTGATGGAAAACTGAGCGAAGTCAATGTGGTGGAGGTGCCTGGAGGAGCCTCAGTGAATGGGGGACCTTCCCCTGGTGCCAGCCTGGTCCCAGCGGCTCCAGACAACAGCGGTGTTCCCAATGGCATGACCACCTCAGTGGCTGCTTCTCTGCTTCTCCCTAGCCATGGGCTGAGCTCAGGGCTGGCACCCAATGGGGACCCTGACTCTGCACCAAGCACCCAGAGTGGGAGCAGCCCCCAGCTGCCAGGCTCACCAGGTGGGCTGTCAGAAGAAGCTGGAGGTGCTCAGTTGTGGTCTCCTGAAGATGAGGTGGCCTCAGGCATGCCGGCACCTTTGGGAGAAGCATCCCCTCATGCTCCCATATCCCCCAGTGCTGCCCCGGTGCTGCCTTCTGCTCCACAGAGAGGAAATTCTGCAGAGGGGGTGGCTGCCAGCCCTGGGCTTTCAGCACGTGAGTCGATAGTGGGGTCTTCTGCAGGGGGAAAGGGAGAGCTGGGGGCTGCTGTGCCAGAGGGGCCTGCCTTGCTCCTGCCTCCCTGCCAGCCAGGAAGCCCTGGAGCCCCCTCTGGGGATGCCAACAGCCCTGTTCCTGGAGAAGGGAGTGCTGTGCTCCATGGAACCACGACAGGGCTAGAGGATGCTACCCGTCCACTTCCCAGTGCCACTGGGTCTGGGGCACATATGGAGACTCACTCCCCACCTGGAGGGAGCCCAGGGCTCCCTGGCCTTCCTCCCACTGGGATCACTGCTGGCAGTCCCGGAGCAAAAACCCTGGGGGCAGGACCTGCTGGTGGCTCATCACCTGCTGCCCTGCAGCCGTTCCTGGGCAGGGAGCTGACCACCAGCCTGGCAAACAGAGGCCCTGCCACCTCTGGGCCAAGCCTTTCTGGAGCCTTCCTAGGCCAGGGGGGATCCCAGGGCGGGTCCCCAGCCCCTGCCAGCCCAGCTCCACCAGCCCCCCTGCCCAGGGGCAGGGAGGTGCTTCCCAGGCCAGGAGCAGCCACTGTCACCTCCCGTGCGTCGTCCCCCGTGGTTCCAGCTCCACCAGGAGTGCCAGCAGCTGCCCCAACCCTGCTGCCCAGTCCCGCAGGTACGTGATGCTCGTAGAGCAGCCTGGGTGGGACTAACACATCCCATCCTTAGGGTCATTCAGTGCCCAGAAAACAAGGGATGTATTTGAGGTCACGATCCTGGGGGTAGATGCAGCACGAGGAGCCCCTGCACATGAGCTTGCACAGTTGGCAGGCTGAGCCTGCCTTCAGTAGAGTCCCGTCAGCTGGAAAACACATCCCCTCCAAATATGCTTTTCTTTTTTTTTTTTAACAGACACAAATAGGGTGTAAAATGTAGGCTGTATAAGTCTCTAGAAAGAGCTGTGGGTGTTTAATTCTGTGCTGTCCCCTGCCACAGTCCTTGTACAATGTTCTTCCCTTCCTAATGGCAGTCATTCAGCTCAGTGTCCCAACAGGGCTGGTTGAAGCAGGGGACAATGACCACAAAGGCCATCATAGCAGGTTTAGGGCAGCTGTGTTCATGTAAGGCAGTGAAAGGAGGGGGAAACAAGCTCCTGCAAGGGAAGGTGACATGCAGAGTGTCCCTGGAGGCTTTAGGCAGTGTCCCCCCATCCTTCTGCTGTCCAGGCTCTGTCCCAGTAGAAGCAAGATAATTACAGCTCTTTAAAATTTTTGATACAGACCAAAGGCTTTGCTATAAATGTGGTTTGCTTTTATTGTTTGTTTGTTTGTTTGTTTATTTGTTTTCCAGTTCCAGCTGTGCCCCTCTATGGGTATGGAGCAAGGGAAAATGATCAGGAGTACGTGGAAAGGAAAGTGGATTTTAATTCTCCACTTTTCAAACCTGAGACTGGATTCCCATTTGGGAAAACCCTGCGCAGCTCTCTCTACGTGAGTCTACTTGGGTTTGGCTTGTTGGGCAAGTGGCCACCACCCAAAACCCTGGGAGAGACATCACGGAGCAGGTGCCTGGGATGGGACTCTTGTGGGGCCAAAGCTATTGGGATGCTGCTGTGATGTATTTGCAGCAGGAGGTGACTTTGTGGCCATTTCAGCAGTGGTGGCTTTCCTTGGGCACTGCTCAAAATGGACTTGGAAATGGGAGGGCTGCCACTCCCATGCCAGGGAGTGCTGCTGGTCCTGATCTCACCTGATGGAGGGATCCCTCTGCTCAGTTTACAGACAATGGACAGATCATTTTCCCCGCCTCAGACAACAATGTCTTCACATACCCCAACCCTCCTCCCAGTGGCTTCAATGGCCATGAAGAGGTCCCCATGATCGCTGTATTTTGGGACAACGCTGACTTCTCCAGAGGTGTTGGCACCACCTTTTACCAGGTGAGTGAATCCACCTGGGAGCACGATTGCACAAAACACCTTTTGATCATAAACCCATCATCTATTCTGTGGATGCCTCTTGAGATGTGTAATTGATGGAGCCCCTGAATGGTTTTTCCCTTTCCTGAGCCAAATCTAAGAGCTGAAGGTTCTATGTCACCTCTTGAGCCATCCAAATCCCATCCAGTGCTTTGGTTACAGGGGTCTGAGCATGACCCCAGTCTTGGCCTGTTTTGTCCCACTGGGAGCTAACACAGACCTGTGTGTTCCCACCCCACAGGAGTTCTCCACCCTCAACAGGGCCAAGCCGCCGTTCGTCCGTGACGTGGAAGCGAAGGTCCGGCGGTACCTGAGGTCCTCCTACTCTGCAGCCTGGACCCTGAAGATCACCTGGGAGAAGGCACCTGTCTACGCAGCATGGACTGACACCCGCAAGGTAAGGGACTGATGGAACACAGGTGCTGCTGAGTTGTCAAAAAACCCCAAGACCTGCAGGCAATGACCTTCTCTGTGCCTGAAAATAAGAACCAGTTTTGTGACAAAGGCCAGTCTTGAAGCATTTTGCCAAAAAGGACTGGGCTGTGCCCATGTTTTGATGGTTTTCAGTTTTTTTGAGGGACACTTTTAGTTGGACTTCCCCTGTTCCATAAAACTTTTCTCTTTAAGGTGGTGGAGGTTTATCGCACACCAGAAATTCTGTTTTTCAAAGGCATAAAATTGGTGAATTTGAAGCTTGTCATGGAACAGTTTCAAAGTAAAACCATCACATTTTCCATGTGAAATGTGAACCAGGCCTGGCTGTGTTTGCCTTGTTTCTCTCCAGACCTCATTCTGGCCATTCCCCAGCAAGCACTGCCCCACACCCTGAATTTTAAACCCCACATCTTCACTCCCTTTCTTATCTGTCTGTAACGCTTCTCCACAGACAGTCACATACCAGGCTGTCCTGACCACTGATGGCTTCAGGTCCTACATCCTGATGCTGTACCAGGATGGAGGCATGCAGTGGGATTACACCAGGCTCACTTCCACCGATGTGCTCATCGGCTACACCAGGTACAACAGCTCAGCACCCCATCCCTGCCTCCTCTGAGCTCTGGGATGCATCCTACCCACAGCTCCCTCTGGTCACATCCTTCCCCCATGTCCCAGGGAGTGCCCTACAATGAGGACAGCCCAGGTGAGGTCTGCATGCCCATATATCCTAGCATATAGCCTCACAAACAAATTTGCCCCATTAGGGACTGGATCATGCTGCAGCATGCTGTCTTGCTGGGCTGTGCTTGTTGCAAGATCCACAAATCCCTCTGGAGTCCTGGGCCCCCAGCATCCTGGTTTGGGTGGAAGGAGTGGGAAATAGGGGATGTTTGCTGAACTTTGCACCAGCCGAGGGAAGGGATTTCCGTGCTTGGCCGGAGCAGTTGTTTCCTGCCTCCTCGCATTACGTCTTGCCCTGTACACGCTGTCTCCAGGGTTTTCTCATTAGCTGCTTGCTGCAGCTGGGTAAGGAAAAGGTGGCCCAGATGGGAAGCGTGGCCGGCACAGGCGTGTGTGTGTGCCTGTGCATGACCACTCGTGGGTTTCTGCTCCAAATCGCCTGGCAAAATGCTGGAAACCTTGGAAGCTGCTTGTGGGGGTCTTCAGATGTCGGTGGTCTCAGCGCCTGAGGCAGCAGGAGTGTTTGTAGCACCTAGAAAGAACTATACCTATATACCATACCCTATATAGAGGAGGAAGCAGGCTGGGGCACATCACGCCTCTGCCCTCCTGTCCCAAGAGCTGCCATGTGGGTGCTGAAATTCCACTGGCATGGGATCAGGATGGCTGAAGGGCAGGCTGGGGCTGGGGCTGGGATAATCCCACCCAGGAAGAGCAACCCTTGATTTTTCCTCTTTCTTCTTCACTCAGTGGGGATGGCTTTTACTACAACGATGACCTGACTAAGAGACCTCCAGCTGCTAAATATCGCCCTGACCAGTTCAGGGGCTACAACACAGGTAATGCCACAGAGCTGGGGTGGGTTCAGAAGGAGGGGAATATTCCTAGGGAATGAAATCCAGCCTGCCACTGTGGCAAGGCTGTCACTGAGTTCTCAAGACCAGGCTCTCCCCCTCAAGCACATTTCCCCTGGGTAGCAGCTATGCCCTAAGGCTGAAACATTCCATGGTCACTTTTTGTGCCAATGGCTCTGTCCCAAGGCTTTTTTCTTTGACAAGAGGCTCTTCCCGTTTCCCTTCTATTGAGTAGCTGTTGAACATGGGGTCCCATGGCTGGAGGTTGATGTGGGCTTAGCTTCCAGCATCAGCACCATATGACTCTCACCTTGAGACAAAACAGCCCCTGCGGTCCCCTCGGCCAAAGGTGACAGCTCATGGTTTCTCTCCCTGCTCAGACCTCCGTGGGCTGTGGATCTACAAGCTGGAGAGCCGTGTGGGCAACAACTACCGGCTGAAGTGCCTGGCGTGGACAGGGCAGCAGCAGGAACCCAGGGCATGGAGCCAGGGCCTGCCCACCTGCCCCTGCTCCCTGCAGCAAGGGCAGCAGGACCCACGCTTCAAGAGCAGCCGTGGAGGCAAGTGGACATGCTGCTTCCTCACCCTTCTCATCCCCAAGCTGTCATTCCCTGCCTTCCCTGCGAGGGTAGCTGGGGTCCCAGCTGACAGGGTGGGCAGGTGACCCTAAGAAGGCGAGGGGGACTGGCCTACCCTTCAGACACAGGAAAAAAGAGGTTTGAGGGCTGACCTCCTCTTGCCTTATTAGACAGCCAGAGTTGGTCTGACCTGCATGGGGATGCTGGGGACCAGGGTGTCACCCTGGGGGACCACTTGGGTGGTCTCCATCAGTTCCTCCAAACCCCTATAGCACCGTGGCTGATGTGGTGGGAGTGGTGGATAACGAGGAGCCAGCTCTGGCCCGATCCTTGCCCCGAGGCAGGTGTGCTAGCTGGGCAGAGCTGTCTGAGGCTCACTGTTGCCCCATTTCAGGCAGGTGGGGTGCCCATGTCTCCATGCTGCACTCAGCCTCCCCCAACCAGCACGGTGCCGGCATTCGCTGCCTGTATGACAGCCAGGACCAGCTCATCGAGGGGCGGCAGGAGAGGTACTGGAGGTCCTCCAGGCAGGCGTCACCCTACCGTGGTAAGCACAGCCGGCCTTGGCATCCCCTGGCTGAGGCTGGCATTGTTGTATCCTGTAAATTTTAATTTTAATCTCTGTGCCAACCTGTTTCCTGACATGCTGTTTCCCTTGGAGGGAGTGTGGAGCTTCCAAAAGCTGAGGAAAGCCTCGCCTGGAACTGGTCCATCTCCCTCCTCTTCCCTTCAGCCCCTTACTCTCCTTTTTGCCTCCAGACCAGGAGCTGAAGCTGTACGACTGGTGCTGTAATCGGGCGGGCAGTGCCCACCTCTGTGCCCGCTACAGTGAGAAGAGGCCGAAGATTGGCTGTGATGGATACCAGTCACCCAGCACGGGTGGGTTTGCAGCTCATGTGCACTGGGACGATGCTGTCTTGGTGCCCAGGGCTGGCAGGGGAGTGAGAATGTCCCAGCCTCCCTGTGGTTAAGGCAGCAAGAGACCTGAGCAGATGGGGGAAGGGTTTTGGGGTGCCCATGTGCAGGTTGTGCCATACCCTGGGCTGTGCAGGGTTGTGGGAGCATCTCCCTCAGCACATAACCACCACCTAGTCTGGAGGGAATGGTGCTGTGAGGTGAGGAGGACACAGCAAATGTGGTTATGGTGTAAGCTGATATGGGGCTTTCTTGCAACCCTCAACAGATTCCTCGGAGGAGGCAGAGAATGACTCAGATGAGCAGATAGGTGAGCAGGATTGTGGGGTCTCCTTTCTCTCTGTCCCTGTGCCCCTGCAGGAAAACACCCTGGGGCTCCCAGCTTGCCCCACAGGGAGAAGGTGGCTGAGCAAATCTCATTTCTTCTTTGCAGATGGAGAGGACAAGTAACTGTGAGGTTGCACACCTGCAGCATGTTCCGGGCCATGGCTGATCCTCCAAGTGCTTTGATCTGCTCTTCCCCAGTGTTCCCCCACATAACCCATCACCCCTGCCCACCAGGCAGGGCAGCTCACTTGGCCAGTGCCTGCAGTTGCCTGCCCTGGCACAAGCTCACATTTCTAACCCAGACTTCTCCCAAGGATTCAGTTGCTTTAGTTGCCCTTTCCCAGCTGCAGCTGGGGGGCAGAACTGGAGGGGAGGTGGGCAGGTACCTGCCACTGCACACACCACCCTTGTTCTTCCTACATCCCATTGTGCTCCCATGCTGCAGGGTGAGGCTGGACCCCTGGCACACAGGGAAAGGGTTAAACACCACACAGGGGTTGACTGTGGCCAAGCCCTTAAATACCAGGGTGCACCAGGCTTGTCCTGTGAGCCAGTCCTGTCTTGTCCCCCACTTGTGTTTCACAGCCATCCCTGGGCCCTGTATGCAGGAGAAGGGACAATTCTCCAGATCAAGCCAGGACCAGATCAGTGTCTGCTGGGTGTGTGAGGGCAAAATGCAACCCCATGATCAGAAATGTTGGAAGAAAAGTAATTTTTTGTGTGTAAGAGAGCATCTTCATTTCTTAAAAAAATTAAATCATTGTCAAATCTCATTTGTTCAATAAGACCTTGAAAGAGTTTGAGCATCACTGATCCTGCAGTAGCCATGTCCTTTGCCAAACTGGAGTGGGAAGCTCTGACAGGGCAGGCTTGGAGCAGCAGGATGACAGGATATTTCTGTTCTTAGCTTTAGTGCTGGAGATACAGCTAAGCCAGGGCTTAGTGAATGGGGTGGGAGTTGGGGGTCTGATGGGGTCTGATATACCCTCCTTGGATCAGCAACTCCCAATCACCAGGGCTGAAGGGTTGTGGCATGTTTATGGGGACCAAAGCCTAACCTGTGTGATCTGAGCCACTGTAAGCAGGGTCCATGAAAGCAGTGTGAGGAGACTTGCAGGTGTGTAGGGAAAATGAGGGGATGAAGGCATAGAAAATTTACATCCATTTTCACTTTGGCTCTGTGGATGGGACCAGCAGAAAGCAGGGACTTGAGGGCTCAATGACAGTGAAGCAGGGCTGGCGCAGAGACCCTTGAGGTGCAGACAATTTAACAGCAAGCCAACATTTTTGGTTTATTCTATTTGGTTCCTAAGGGATTACAATCACTGCATTGCCCCACCTGACCCTGCTCTCGGGGGCTCTGCAGGGTCTGGTTATATTGCACCAGAACATACCCTGGTGCAGACACATTCAAGGATGATCCCAGGTGTCTCTGCAGGTCCTCAGGGGAAGGTGAAATCCTCCTGCTTTGGTCACCCAACATAAAGACACATTCAAAAAAGCATCTCCTCCAGAGTGAATCCTCCCAGAACCCAAAAGCAGCAGCCTGTCCCCTCCTTCCATGCGTTGCTGCTGCTGGAGAGCTTGAGAGTGAGCGGTGGAACAGGCAGCAGTGTCTGGCTCCTCCGTGAGCCTGGAGGTGCCAGGAAAGGACCAGTGGCAGGTTAGGGCTGCTGGGGGGACTGGCTTGGAGGCATAATGTGGGGCCTCTGGATTCTTATCTGTAAAGGAGGAACAGGCCATGCTGTCAGCATGGCATTGGCTCTGTGCTTTGTGCCGAGCTCAAACAGGGACGTGGATCCCAGTGCTGGCCAAAGCGGTGCTTCAGGATGAGGCACAGCTCCTGAGCACCTTTGAGGCACAGGGCCAGGATTCAGAGCCCAGCCCAAAGTTCCCCACCCCAACACCCCATGGACACAGTACCCCAGGGCAGACCTGGACTGAGGGGTCAATGGCCTGGAGCTGCAGTTTCCAGTGCCTTTCCAGAGAGTGGGAGATGGTGGGCTCCGCTTGCTCTCCTGCCATCGTTAAAGCTGGAGCAGGGAAGATGAGAAGAGGTTGAGGACTGGGGTGAAGCAGAGCTTTAGTGGGGGGAGTTTTACAGGCAGGTACTCACAGGAGAAGGGCCGTGTCCTCCACAAGGTCTCCTTGGCGCTGAGAGGGGGGAACAGAATAGGGAGAACATGTCAGCAGAGGCTGGGAGAGCCCCTGCCTGATGCTGGTGTCTGGGTCAGATGGCAAAGGGGAGCAGTGACTGATTGTAGGGGTGAGATGGGGCTGTAAGATGAGGAAAAGCCCCAGTTGTGCACACACAGTTTCTTGCCTTGCCACAAGTGCAAATGAAACAGAGGAACTTCCCAGAGACCCCTGGCTCCAGGGCTGGCAGGGAGCTGAGAACAGGGGCAGGACACAGCTCCAGCCAGAGACAGAGGCTTGGGACATCCCCCTGAGAGTCCACCACAGGACCAAGAGCTGGAACGGGGGAAGGAGATGCTGGTTCTGCCACCCCAGCCTTGCACTTTGCAAGGCTTCTCTTAACCCCCTGCAGAAGAGCAAGGTCTAATTCTTAAACCAGTTTTCCTCACTCCAGGCCAGCTCTTTCCAGACCCATGTGAATTGCAGTGGAAATCATCTGGGTGGTATGCAAATTAAAAAGAAAGTCCATCTGTAATCAAGTATTGGGTGGGATGAGGAAGAAATGCAAACACTCCCTAACATGGGAGAAAAAGGAAAGCTAACATTCAACCCACTGATGCTATTGCACCCCTGAGCAGCAGATATCTGGAAAAGGAGATGGAAGTTATTAAAATGTCACCCAGCCCCTCTCCCAGGGCATGGTCCCCCTGCTCAAACCAGACGAGTTCTACCAGTGGTGGATCTTTCAAATGTGGATTTTGGATCAGTTTTCCTCTCTGACCCCCAACCTGCCACATGCCCAGCACCTGCCCCTGCCCAGGTCCAGCCCACGGCTCACCCCTGGTGCTGGCGGCGGCGCTGGCGGCAGAGGTGCAGGGCCAGGCAGGCGATGGCAAACAGCAGGCAGAGCAGAGCCAGGGCTCCCAGCAGGATGCCGAGGAAGGCAGCCAGGCTGATGGCCAGCCACTCACACTGGACACCGGCCGGGGAGTAGATGGAGAAGGGCAGGCAGCTGTGGATGGGGAGGGAGGGGCTGTGATGCCATAGAAGCAGCTGTGCAGGGTGGCCTTGTCCACCCTGGGGCTGCTGCTACCTGCATGTGGGCCCCTCGGGCAGGTGCTGGCACTGGCCACCGTGCTGGCAGTAGCCCATCTTGCAAGGGGAGATGCAGATGAAGCCCACGGTCCCCACATAGTGGAGCTGGTAGCCTTTGTAGCCGTACAGAGAGCAGGGGAAATAATCCTTCAGTTCATCCACTGTCACTGGGGAGGGAAAGCACATGGGTCCGGCCTTGCAGCAGCACCCCCTGATGCCTCCCCAAGCCTCCCCAGGCTGGATCTATGCCTGGGGTTGGGAGGCTGCCCACCCACGTCCCCCATGGCTGTGAACCGATCCCTGGGGCACACAGGGTTATGGGGACAATGGGGACAGGGGGGTGCTCCTCCCACACTCGCCAGCTCAGTGCCAGGAGCAACTCACGCTTCACCAGGTCAGTGATGTTGTCCCGGTGCAGGCGCTGGAAGAGGAGCCCCGTGCGCGCCTGCCGCCATTGCCGTGCGTTGAAGGCGCCAGTGATGGCTGCGGGCAGCTCCTCGTTCAGGAAGCGGATGACGGTGCCGCGGCTGTCATAGGCAAACTCGGACACCAGCACGAAGGTGAAGCCATCACTGTCTGTCCTGCAGGGAAAAGAGAGGGCTGCTGGAGGAGCTGCTGCTGCCTCTCAGGGTGACTGAGCCTCACTGTGCCTCAGTGCTCCCATTTGGGCAATGGTAAAGCAGGGATGAGGCAGGAGTGGAAGGTGCCAACTGGCTTGTGTCTCCAAGGGTTTACCAGCATCAGGGCTGGAAAAACAGACTCTGAGCTGGGGGAAAATGCCCTTTGTGCATCAAACTCTCTGGCCCACCAGTTCCTTAGAGTGGTCATGGGCTGCTGCCCATCTGACTCACATCTGGGTGATGTTGGTGTTGCTCTGGAAAGCCTTTACCTCCAGGGAGTCCAGGATGGCCGAGACCTGCAGCAGGGGGAGCAGGAAGGTATTAGGGGAAGGCAGAATGATGCCAGCATTCCATTTCCATGGGGAAAGGTTGAGGAGTGATGCAGGCATTGTGGCCAAACCCCAAGGGTTGCTCTGCACTTTGGTTCATTTGCTGGGGACTTGGCACAGGGCCATGGCTACAGACATCATCATGCAATTGGTGCTTCCTCCCTCTGGCCTTGTGGATCTGCTGGACCCCCAGAGATCCCATGGGAGGGCATACAGACGCATGGGCACCCCCAGCTGCTATGCTGCCCAGTACTGGCAGTGTGTCCCCTGCTCTGAGCCCACCCCCTCCCTCCAGTGACATACAGTGCTGTTGACTTCCTCAGCAGTGGTGTTTTGCAGTGTCTTGACCCTCATCTGGATGCTTCTCCGAGGGAGACCTGCTGAGGGAAAGCCACAGTGGTGGCTCTGGCATCCCAGGACCAGGGTGAGTGGGGCTGGGTTTCACCCCACGCTGGGCACAGGTACCCACCCGTGCTGGGCAGAGGCTGAAAGTCCCCTCCTGCCACCAGGCAGTGCTGGTCGGTGAAAGCCGGGGGGCAGGTGCAGGTGGGGGCACAGGTGATGGGGTGAAGGTGGCAGTGTCCCCCGTTACTGCAGTAGCCCTCAGGGCAGGAGTGGTAGCCGCAGGCTGAGCCACAGCCTGGCCTCTCACCTGTGGGATGGAGAGCCATGAATCTGGCTGCAAAGCAGAGTCCCAGCTCTCTGAGCCATCCTCAGCTGCTCCATAAGGCCTTTCTTCCCAGTTTTGTTTTTCTTTTATGTATTAGGAGTTTTAGTGTAAATTCAAGAAAAAGCCCCACTCCCCCTCCTTCCAGCTGGAGCCATTTGCCCTTCTTAAATCCCAGCATTAGAACAAGAGCAAATGCCATCAACTCAGCTCCACCAAAGCAATCTGAAAACAGGGCTTGATTTAGCCCCCAACCTCCGCATGTGCATTTGAACTTTGCTGGGATGAGAATTTTTCTTTCTCAAGGAGAAAAGTTGCATGGGAAAAATTTCCCTTCCCAGTGGATTAGTGAGATCAACAGCCTGGGAACACGAGTGGTGGCTGGACTCTGGTCTCTTCTGCTAATGACAGCAAGGGCTTGGGCACAGAGCTCAGCCAGCTCCCCCTCCTCTCCAGCCAGCCTGGGTCCCTCAGGAATTCTCTTCCACAGAGCCTGGGGGTGATGAGGATGAGGACTATGCCTGCCAGGGACCCCATACTCACCCTGCTCACTGGCCAGGCAGGAGCAGAAGTAGCTGCCCACAGTATTGATGCAGGTGCTGTTCCCCGGGCACTCCATCCCCTGCGCACACTCATCGATATCTGCCGAGGCAATGCACCATGGCACCGGGACAAACACCTTGGCTGGGGTCCCAGTGGCCATGGTGTGAGCCCTTGGCACCTGAGCAGTGCTGTCCATCCCCTGTCAGGCCAGCTGGACAGGGGCCACAGCCACGGAAAGGGTCACATCCCACACCAGGGAAGCATCCCTGGGAGCAGGGGTCCGGAGGGTCCTGGCAGAGGGGACCTGAGTAGCCGCTCTCGCATCTGCAGGCTGCCAACTGGGAAGGGGATAGTGACACTGGCTTAGGGAACGTGAGGCGGATGGGTGGACAGAGAAGACAGCCAGCACAGCTGGCATGGGGACAGGCACAGTGTGTCACCAGAGGAACTTTCTGACACGCTACCTGCAGGGAAGACTCCCTGAGAATGACAGTGTTGCCATAGTCACAGTCCTGGCTCCTGCTGCATCTGCAAAGGGTGAAGCGGAGCTGGAGGAGTGCAGAGATGTTGTTGGACCCAACAGCCTCCAGGCTGATGGTGAATGGGGCTATCTCACGGGGCTTCCATATCAGGGTGCCATTCTCTGCCAGGGGAGATGTGGGAGTTAGAGGTGGCAGAGGCATTCCATCCCATTCTTTCCCATCCCAGCTGCTCCATCTCTCCTTCCCTTACCCGATATGTTGAGCTCTGGTGAGAGATGGGGAATGAAGCGTGCACCCGCCCCCAAGGCACGGTACTGCCTTCTGACCTTCTCTGTCCTGAAGGCTGTGATTGATGCATCACCGGTGATGATGGGAGGGAAGGCATCTGAGGAAAGAGCAGCCCAGCACACATGTGGCCTTGTCACCCCTTGGCTCAGAGTCCCTCCTGGTGAGGATGGGACTCCAGGCAGATGCTGTTGCACAGCATGGTGGCATCTTTCAGGTTTGGAGAGAAGCCAGAAATACAGTTCCAGGAAATGCAGTTCCAAAACCTTGATGGCAACTGTCCTGCTGTTGGCATCTCCCAGGACTGGAGATAAGCCAGCTGGGCAGTGCAAATCCAAGACCTTGGTGACTTCTCTTCTGTCTCATATGAAGCAAGAGAGCCCAGGAAAGGAGCAGGGCACTGCCCAGTTACATCCAAGCCATGCCCTCTCAGAGGTGAGGATGTGCTCCACTTACTGAGTGCTGTCTTCCTCTGCTGGAAGTCGGCTGCTAGGATCCGGGTGGCCAGGCCCAGGGCCAAGTTCCCTGTGCTCAGCGAATCGTAGATGCACTCCTTGCTGCCGTGACACTGCAAGGCTGCCAGCTGGTACTGGCTTTCATTCTCCTGCCGCAGCCGAGACAAGAAGAAGGGTGTGAAGTTCAGTGCTGGTGAGTCCAGAGGCTGACTGAACAGGTGGTGCTCCCCAACAGCCCCTGCAAGAGAGCATGCCATAGGTACAGACCATTTTAAGGTTTGTTGTATTTTAGGGTTCCTTTTCACAGAGCAGTGAGGACACCAAACACCTTCCCTTGGCATTGCTTTTGCTCACACAAATATTTAAATATCTCAAGCCAACCTATTGCCAGAAGGTGCAGGAAGGAGGAGGATCATCAGGGGGGATCCTAAGCCTGGACTTACAGGTCATCCCATAGCTGTAGATCTCCTCTTCACTGCTGTTCACAGGGATGCTGGTACCATTTGGCATCTGGAAGTCATCTGCAGGGTCATGGTCCCACACACCTGGTGGAGCATCACCAGAGTGCTGGAGTCCCCCATGCCAGGGTTGACCTCCTCTCTGGTGCTAGCCAGTGTTTAGTTTAAACCCAGGTGTCCTTGCCCTCACAAGCACAATTCCCCAGTTTTCCAGTCTACTTTAGAATGGGAAGAGAATTTGCACCCCAGCTCTGCAGCAGTGCCAGAAGCCCTCACCCAGGAGGCCCCTGGTGCTGTTGCGGTACCAGTCGGGCAGGCTGCAGACCACGCTGAGGATCCCAGAGCTGGCTGAGACAGAGACAGCGATGGTCCCATTGAAGACAGCCGTGACAGAGGAGGCATTGACTAGCAGGACACCAGGGCTGTAGTAGACCTCATCACCCAGGTCTGCAAGAGAAGGAGAGCACAGAGGGAGAGTCTATGCAAGGCTGGGATCTGAAATGACAACCATGGATCCCTGGATGGGAGTGCTCCCCATCCACCCCACCCAAATCAGAGACAGGTGCAGGAGAGAGACATTTAATGGATCTCAGGATGGCTGCCCTCGCACTGGGCAGGGCTGGTCCCATGGGATGGGGACATCTCTGGTCCCCCCCACATACATTTAGCATTTAACAGCAGACCCTACTCACCTTCGGAATAGGAAAACTGGATGGTTTCATTGTTCAGGAGGACTTGGATGTCATCCTGGCTCCCCAAGGTCCACTCCACCTGAAAATCATGGTGGATGTCCCAGTCAGCCTCCTTGCTTGCCCCTCCCTGCTATCCCTCCATGCTGGGAACAATTATTAACTCTGTACTCTTCCAGCCCAGGAAGAGAGGCTCGGCCCTGAGGTGTTGGTCACACAATACAGCAGCTTTGATGTTTGCACAGAAGAGGACAGCCAGCTGCCTGTCACCGCTGGCAAGGGGCACGCCCAGGCCACCACCACTGCTCAGCTAACCCAGCTCTGACCCTCCTCCTCATGCTATTCAATGCCTGTTCCTGGTGGCACCAGGCCATTCTATTTAATGAAGCTAAATGGGTGTGGGGAGCAATTCTGCAAAGTCAGGAAGAGCAGTCGCTTGTGCTAAAATGTCAGGACAAAGAATGTGCAATGAAAAAAGTGAAGCAGACCATGTTCCTGCAGAGCCTCCAGCCCTTGCTGGCCTGTTTGCAGGAGGTGTTAGACCTGTGCCTGGTGAATATTAGTCCACCCCACCATTAATAGTACTTCATTGCAGTGGCGGGAGGTGGCAGGAAAAGGAGAGGGGATGCCTCTTGTGTCCCACCCACTTGTAGGTGATGCAGAGGTGACTCCAGATTTCTAGAGTCTCTCTCATTAAAGGCTCAGAGTCACACCTAGGACACTCCTACTCACTGTTGTGGTGGTGGTGGAGATGTATTGGGCAGCGAAGGCCACAAAGTTGGTGGCCTGGGCCATGCCAGTCTGTGCTGTGCGCCCGTGCAAAATGAAGCTGGTCTGGGCATCACTGGCCAGGAGCAGGACAAAGTCCCCGAGCCCATTGAAGGTGTAGGTGAGTCCATCCAGGGTGGTGATGTGAGGGTCCCCAAAGGCACCAGCTGGGGTCCAAAGGAGATGGAGATGTTTTGGGCAGAGGAAGAAGAGCAAATGCTGGTGTCATTTCAGGGAGGAGAGCAGCCCATGAGCTACTCAGTGGTGGCTCAGCAGTCCCCACTGGCATATTGCAAAGTGTGGGTAATGCTTGTGTCCATGCGCAGCTCAGGGCCCTGGCACAGCAGGGGCAGAGCCTGGGGACTCACCAGGAGTGGGTGGCACATATCCTTCACAGCCAACCCTTGGTCTCTTCTCAGCAAACCTGGCACAGAACAGGGGCTTCCCCACACGCCGACAGCACCAGTCGAATGCTTCCAGCTCCCTGTCTGCGGAGGAACGTGATGGGGTGTGCTGGGGCCTTTGCCTTGCCTGTGCTTGATGCTTGAGGTATTTTAGGGCTAGGGAATGCTAGTTCCCACTTACCAGTGGCAGTGTGGAAGGGGAGGCTCCATGTTCTCTCCTGCCAGCCTTCGAGCAAGCTCCCACCTCGGTAGAGACATCGTACCCCAGCTCCAGCTGGGCTGGGGGACGCAGTGCGCAGCATCCTCACAGAGGTGTCCGCTGGGCCTGGAATAGTGGGGGGGATCACAGCTGCCCCCAGAACAGGGGGGGGCCATCCCTGGTCCTGGGGGGGCTGTCCTTGGCACCTCTGCTCCAGCGGTAGCGGGGATCCAGCTCTGCCTGGGGCCGGGAGCAGGGGCATGCTGGCAGCTGGCTGTTCCAGGTGGCCGGTGCTGGCTCTGTGTCCAGCCACGCCAGGCACTGCAGCCTGTAATTCACCCGGGAGCGACTGTCCAGCCTGTAAATCCACAGCCCACGCACATCTGGGGGAGCAACCAGACAACAACACCGCTCAGCCAGCCTTGTGCTGAGGGATGCCGTGGGACAGCTGTCCCTGGCCACTGACCTCACACGAGGTCTCCAGGCTCCCTCTAGAGCCAGCAGGGCTGTGGCAAGCCACAGGACATGGGACACCCACAGTCTGCTCTTGGTGGCTTGCCCAGTCTTGCCCAGTGGCTTTGCTGGCCCATCACCTCCCAGAGATGGGTGCTGGGGACATGCTCCTGGCACAGAGCACACAGCTCCTTCCACCCCCACCCACCCCAGGACCCCTTGGTGCCATACCGGAGCCGGTGCTGCTCTCCTGGTCTGGTCTGTACCTGACAGCTGGTGGCTTCTGAGTCAGCTCGTTGTTTTGGGCATAGCCATTGCCGCTGTGTGGAGAGAGGAGGTATGAGGTCATCCTTCCAACACAGCCCTCCTCCCCTCCCCATAGGGCAGCTGGGGTGGGAACTGCTGCAGTTTGCAGGAGAAAGGGTTTAAATGGGGCAGGGTTGCTCCGGGAGTGGGAGCTGGGCTTTCCTGGTAGTAATGCCTCTGACAGTCTCAGCACAGTGCTGGAACAAATCTCTGCTGTCCCAAAACCCCAGTGACAGCCGTGCAGCACCTGGAGAAGCCGATCAGCACGTTGGCTGCAGCCAGCTTGGTGTAGTCCCAGCGCATCCCACCATCCTGGTAGAGCAGCAGGGCAAAGGAGCGGTTCCCATCGGTGGTGAGCACTGCCTGGTAGGTGCTCGTCTGGAGAAACCCAAGGAACACCCTTAGCACTCCCAAAGCCTCTCCTGCTCTCCCTGCAGCGCAGACTGAGGCAGCAAGACTTGAAACAGCCATTAGCAGTACTCTTTGTCACCTGAGTCCTGTCCTGCTCACCTGACTGTCATCCCTCTGGGATGGGTATGCTGGAGCTTTCTCCCACGTCACCTTCAAGGTCCATTTTGCTACATAGGGGATTTTCAGGTATTTCTCAATCTTTGATTCCACATCTTGGACAACGGAGTCTTGGGTAGAGATGAGTGTAGAGTACTCCTGCCAGGTGGCAAGAGAGAGAATTAAATGAGTGAGCTGGGAACTGGATTCTCCCAGGAGACCACCTCTGGTGGCCCTCACCTGGTACCAGGTGGTGCCAACACCCTTGGAAAAGTCTGCATCATCCCAAAAGGCAGCCACCATTGGCAAGCTCTCCCGGCCAGTGAAGCCCCGGGGAGGGGGGTTGGGGTTGGATGGGACGTAGTTGTCCGTGGGTGGAAAAATTATCTGTCCGTTATCTGTAAACTAACCAAAAGAACTTGTTATTTGTTGACTGGGATAGCTTTTAGCCTCCATGGGTGAGCAGAAACCAACCATTTTAAATGCAGAAAAAAAAGATATTTTGATGAAATTTGGTTTCTTCTCCATTTCCATGTTTTTTTTTTTTACCAAAAAGGCAGCACATCCATTATGTGCTCACCAAGGGGGGCACTCACATAGAGAGCATCATGCAGAGACTTCCCAAAGGGAAATCCAATTTCTGGCTTGAACAGGGGTGAGTTAAAATCCACCGTCCTCTGGACGTATTCTTGGTCCCCTCCTTCCACGCCAAAGGGGTAGAGTGAAGTTGCTGGCTCTGTCATGGGCAGGAGATCAATGAAAAAGATGTAAATTATTAATGTCTGATTAATCCATCCTGCAGCCAGGACAAACCCACCTGCTTGCTGTCAGGATGCTGTATCTGTGCTCTGATGAATTGTAACCCAGTTTCCAACCCACTTTTGGGATGCTTTCAAATGTCCTAATTTGCCTTTTCCCATGAATCTGGCAGCCCAATGTGCAATGCAGATGAGATACCCCGGACTAGGCTGTACCATCATCCATCACAATGGATGAATCCATCAAGGGCTGAAAACCCCTTTCCTACTCTTGTCTTTGGGAAAATCTACTTACTGATAAGCTCGTGGGTGGGTTTGGGCTCAGGTGCAGGAGTTCTGTGCCCAGTGGTGGCGTGGGCAGATGTGCTCAGTTCAGTGGATGGTCCTCTCTGTGTCCCAACGGCATGAGACAGGGTGGTGGCAGGGCTGTTGGTGGCTGCTGGTCTCACTGGTGCCGTGGTGCCTGGGGCTGGGAGACTTCCCACTCCCTTGGCTGGGCTCACTGGGGCTGTGGATGCAATAGCCGTGGTGCCTCCTGCAGTGATGACAGTGGTGCTGCCTGCAGTGGTGGCAGCAGTGGCAGCAGTGGCAGTGGTGGCAGTGGTGGCAGTGGTTCTGCCTGCAGTAGTGGCAGTAGTGGCAGTGGTGTTCCCTGCAGTGGTGGCACCGATGTTCCTTGCAGTGGTGGCAGTGGTGTTCCCTGCAGTAATTGCAGTGGTGCTGCCTGCAGTAGTGGCAGTGGTGGCAGCAGTGGCAGTGGTGTTCCCTGCAGTGGTGGCAGTGGTGGCAGTGGTGGCACTGATGCTCCCTGCAGTGGTGGCAGTGGGGTTCCCTGCAGTGGTGGCAGTGATGCTCCCCGCAGCGGTGGCAGCAGTGTTCCTTGCAGCAGTGGCAGTGGTGCTCCCTGCAGCAGTGGCTGTGGTGCTGCCTGCAGTGATGGCTGTTTTCTCCTTCCAGGCAGGTGCCCCTGGAGATGTCTGGAAGGCAGGAGGTGACGTGTTCGCTGCTTGTCCCATGTCATGGTAGCTGGTGGATGTAGAAGTGGTTGCTGACTCGGTGCGAGTCTGTCCAGCTGCTGTCACCCCAGTTGCACCAACACCAAACAGGGACAAGGGGGCTGTTGTTGTCTCCTCTTTTGGGCTCTGCAGGCTGGGGAGGGGAGAACCAGACGCTGCAACACCAGTGCTGGGACCAAGGATGCCCCAGGATCCATGGGTTGTCTCCACCAAGGGGGTACGTGCTGCTGGGGATGGGACAGGCTGCCCACCTCCGTTTGTCTCGCTGTGTGTTACAGCAGGGGATGGGGCACTGCTGGTGCTGCTGGCCCGTGCAGTGGCAGGTGGCACGGCTGTGGTGACCCTGGTCACAAAGGTCTCCCAGCCTGTTGAGGTGGTTGGCAGGTTAGCGTTGCTGGGGAATGCTGTGGATGCTGTGGTGGCCAGGCTTGTGCCAGCGGCGTTGGAGTCGGGGACGTGGGTGCTGCTGGTGCTGGCTGAGGGTGCTGCACCCTCAGTGCTGCTCTCAGAGCGGGTGGTCTCCACATGGGCAGTGGTACCTGTGGCACCTGCCCAGGATGCAGCTGTGGCCTCCCACACATTTGTGTGGCCAACAGCCAGCAAGGTGATCCCAGCTGTGGGCTTGTCCTCAGTGGCAGCTGGCTCTGGTGATGGCCTGGCAGTGACAGTCGCATGGCTGGGAGCTGGCCCCACTGCACTGGCACCTGGGTTCTCCTCTGTGCTCACCTCCAGGAACCCCATCCCCATTGTTCGCCCTGTGGTGCTGTCATCGGGCTGGGGGTCACCTGAAGCCCCCATTGCTTGCAGTGGGGCAGCCAGGGACAGTGGGGACATGACTGCTGCCATCTCTTGAGGGATGCTGGATGGGGACATCTCCAGAGCCATGCCTACATTGGCTCTGCCTTCCAGAAGAGAGGGGACGTCCATTTGTGATGCCATGGGGACAGTGACTGCTCTGGGTCCCCCAGGGGTGTCTGATACAGCTCTGCCAGTGCCTGGTGCAGTGCTGGGTGATGGCATCTCTGTCCCTGGAGCTTCCATGTCTTGGGGCCCAGCCCAGAGCACTGAGGTTAGCACAGATCTGGGTGTGACACCAGTTCCTGGGGCTGTTGAGCCTGCTGTGGGACCTGGCTGGCTGTGGCTGAGGTGTGCATCAGGCACAGGCACGGTGGCTTTGCTGTCCCGCGGCGTTGTGGTGGCACTGCCACTGGCCAGTAATGATGATCCCAGCCCTGCTTCACTAACTGGAGAGCTGCTAACAAAGGAGGATGGATGGGCAGCTGGCACAGTCCCAAATGCAGCAATGGAAGGTGGTGGTGCAGCAGCAGCAGCTCGAGGGGCCCTGTCTGGCTTGGCTCCACTGGTGCCTGTGAGGGACAAAGGTCTGGCCATACTGGGAGTGACTGGAGGAGATCTGCCTGCAGCTGCCTCTGCTGTGGTGGTTCCAAGGCCTGTTGAGAGGGACTGAGGGAGCAGAGAGCCCATAGAGTAAGGAAAGGGCCTTGGAGGGGGACCATCAGGGTCATTGAGAGCTGCATGGGGGGACAGACTTATGCTGAGCCCTCCTGGTGTGTCCTTGGTCTCCGGGATGGCAGTGCCTGCTGTGGCTTTGGTATTGGCCTCATTCCTGATGGATACCAGCTCAGCACTGGTGCTTCCCAGAGGTGGGATGTGCTCTCCAGCTACGATATCCATCACTGTAGCCAGTGTGCCTGCAGCTTGTGTGGTGGCCTGGGGCTGAGTGACAGCGTTGTCTCCAGGCAGCCCATGTCCAGCAGTGTCCGGGGCCACGCTGTGGCTGAGGGGAAGCATCTCCCCTGTGCCCAACACAGCATCATCAGGAAGCTGGGGCAAAAGGGCTAGAGGCAGCTGAGTGGGAGGCCCAGGAGGGTGCTGTGAGGCATTGTGGTCAGCACTGGGCAAGGTACATGTCCCTGGCTCTGTAGCCTTGCTGGTGCCAATGGTGGCAGAAGAAAAGGTGACCTTTGCCAAGGATGCACTCGGGGGGTCCGCAGGCGGTGGGGCTGCCATGCTGGCTCCCTCTGCAGCTGTGCTGGGGGGACTGGCTGTGGCTGCTGCCATCTTCATGGGGCTGGCCTTGTCCTGAGAGAGGCTGGCAGCTGTGGCCAAAGGTGAGGTGGCCTCATCCGGGTCCAGTATGACCTCCTGGGACAGGAGCATGGCAGTACTGTGTGGCTCAGCAGAGCTCCTGCTTGTGCTGGGGGTTGACGTTGCTCTGCTGTGCTCATCCTGGAGGAGCAATGGCCCTGTGGTCCATGCTGTCACTGGCATCTGCTCCACGGTGACAGCACCCAGGGCAAGACCCACTGTGTGCCTCGTTGGCTTGAAGGACAGAGGCTGCATGTGCCCAGTGGTGGTGGGAGCTGGAGGGACGATGGTTGGGTGGCTGGCAGCACCTGGAGAGGAGACCCCAGGCCCTGACCCTGCCTGGGGGCTGCCTTGCATTGCTGGACCCCCAGGGAGAGCTGCCGGGCTGGGAGGCCCCTCCTGCTCACCACTACTTCCAGCTGGGACCAGCCCTCTCGTTGTTGCCTGTGGCACCAGGATGCCTGTGGAGCGAGACAAGGCAGCTCCAGCTGGATCAACCCCACCGCGGCCCCAGCAGGCAGGAACCTGCCCGCGGCCAGCTGCCTGCCGGCCTTACCTGAGCTCTGGCTGCCCGCGGGGGCGGTGGTCGGGCCGGAGGGAGAGGGGAGCTCCTGGCACATGCCCAGGTCTGAAGGCAGCTCGGCGCTGCTGCTGTCGGCCGCATGGGAGATGCTGCCCGACTCGGATGGGTCCAGCGTGGGGACAAGGGGCTGCCCCTTCATCTCCCCGGCTTGTGCAGAAGGTGGGTGAGGGAGGATGAGTTAAAAACCAGCCCAGAGTCGCCATCGCCCCCACCCCTCCTCCCTTCTGCAGGAGGACCAAGACCAAGAGCAGGACAGGCACCTTCCCGCAGGGTGAGTCTCTCCATTTGATCCACAATTCCCGCCACCTTCCCCTGCTGTAACTGGGGACCATGACAAAGCTCTGGCGCCCGCAGACAGAGAGCAAGCCCCGGCCGGGCACTCGGGCTCAATCTCGAAGCTTTGCAGCAGCCGGAGGGTTGTTTGCAGCCCATCACCCACATGGTATGAGCCACCTGGGCAGCCCGCTAGCGGTGCGAGGGGACCCTGGCACTTACCTGGCAGCACCCAGAACCCCCACAGCACCCAGCTCCAGAGCGGCCACGGGCCCCGGCACCCCATAGCGCTTCTTCGGCGTCAGGGAGGAAGGAGACAGGGCTGCCGCTCTCACTCTCTCAAGGGAGAGCGCAACGGGTGGCTCCACCGGTGAGCACTCCCCCAGGTGGGGGGGACAGGGACACCACGTGCCCTGCCTGGGGCACTGACGTCTCTGTGTCCTCGCAGCCTCCGCTGAGGTGGCAGCGTCCCAGTTCTGGGGACCCACTGATGCTGGGGGCCACACCCATTTTGCCAAGGGAAGCTTTAAGGTCCTTCCCAGACTGACCCCACTGTTGACAGCCCACGGCCAGGGTCCCCAACCCCTGGAGAGCAATCAGGGGGTTCGAAGTCACTTGGCCTAAAGGCACCAGGACGGCAGGTGGGGACAGGAGTCCTAAACATCTCTGGGACGGGTGGGTCAGTCCTGGGCTCTGCACCCCCATCCACCCTCCTGGTTGTTGTCAGGTCCCTCCACACTTGGCTGCATCGCCGATAACCCCTGGCAGGGGTTGGCTCGTCACCAAGGAGGAAGAAGGAAGGAGCAGGCTACCGCTGGTGCCTTGGGGTCCCGCGTATTGACCCTGCCCTGTCCCCCCCTTCGGCACTGCCGGTGCCAGGCGTTATCAGCACATCTCGGCAAACGCCCACACAAACCCGGATGGAGTGGGAGGGCTGCTCCCGCATAGGTGGCGGGGCTAGGCATTGCCCTGGGTTGCAGGTCACCTTCCACCAGAGACGAGAGGCTGGATGAACCCAACTGTACGAACGGACCCAGTGAGGCCACTGCAGCAAATGCGTTTGCTTCTTCACAGGCTCTCACCCAGCTCCAGGATTACTTAAGGAGAGGGAAGTAAGTCAGTGATGGTCTTGTGCCTTCCCTGCTTCACTGACAGCCCTGCCATGGTGGCTACACCTCACATAGGAAAACAGAAGCACAGAGTCCCAAGCAGCAATGCGTGACCGTGCTCACAGCAGCACCAGCTCCCTGTTCCCACTCTCAGGGAGGGCCAGGGGACCAGAGCTGAGGGAGCTGTGGATGGGGTGCACAGGATGTGGCCAGGGATGGATCCATGGTCATGCCAAAGCAGCCCTTCCTCACTGTGTACGGCACGGTCTCTCCCCTGAAGCCATCAGCTCTGGAGCAGGGTCTCCTGGGGAGCAGGTACCACCACTATCAATGGACCTGGTGGGTTTGGGCACTAAGACCCTCCTCCACCTGATCCTAAGATCCCTTCCTGATGCTGCTAGAAGGCAGCACAGCAGGAAACCCAGCTAAGGGGCTCCGATAGTCACTTGGAGCGGGGAGCGAGCACTGACACCGGCTCTGACCCCACAGGAGCCACACCTCCACTCCCGCACCTGCTCCCGGCTCCGTCTGCGGCGGAGGCACCCGGTTGCACAACACCCCTCGCGTGGGTGGGGGCGACGCCGGTCCCGCCACTCCCTGCCCGGGCATGAGTCAGGCGGCAGCCGGGAGCCGCGGGGCACCGGGCAAGGGGGGCTCCCCTGCAGGCAAGCACTACCCACTCAGAGCGGGCAAAGCCATTCCCAGCCTTCAGGCGTCGGGCCTGGGGGTGGGATATACTGGGACTAACTCCAGCAGTCCTGGGTGGGGAAAACTTTGCACCCTAAAGCAGCCTAGGAGGACTGAGCAGGAGGTTTTATATGTGCCCATGTCACACAGCTTCCTGGGGATTCCCAGAGTCCTTGAGTCCCATCCTGAGCTTCATCCCACAGCGGATCACAATTGCAGCTGCCTGCAGGGAGGAACCAGCAGGCACGGAGATGTGGCCTGTGCCTGTGTGTTGGCAGAGACAAACCTGGGAGATGGCCATAGGCACCCTCCTCCTCTCCATAGAATATTTTTATATATATACATAATATATATATTAAAATTACATTTCTCTTTACAAAAACAATTCAACAAGGGGCCAGGGGATGAAGCCCATTGCCAAGGCCAGGGCACAAGCACCCTGGAAAGTCTGTGGTGCTAGGCAGGGTCCCTTTTGGGGTGTCTCCACCCTCAAGTGGGGGCTCAGTCCAGAGTCCTGCAGCACGTTGTGTGGGTCGAGGTGGCGGGATTGGCCCCATGGTGAGATGCCTCCTCCAGATCCAATACAGCTCGCCCCATCCCCGCTGTCACCACCTGTAAGGAGAGCACAGGACATGAACTCAGGAGGGGTGATGGTGCCAGTCTGCCCAGAGCAGTGTGGCATAGAGAACTGCCCCCTCAAAAACATTGATGTCCCTACTTCGGGCGGGTGGTGCTGTAGGTATCGAGGAGGTGGGAGCTGGCCTGTGCCAGGTTCCAGTCGAACATCTCCAGCACTCGCTGGCACTCACCACGGGACTTCAGCCCCAGGCAGAAGAGCTGCTCCACCTGCAAGGGGACAGGGCACGGCCAGAAGGGTGACAGGAGTGCCACCACTCTTGCTGGAGCTGTGATGAGGGAACAGGGGTGTGCTGTACCTTCAGGTACTGGACAGCCCTTTGGATGCTCCAGCCATGGTTCTGCAGGGCTGCCTGACACTCCTCGGTGGTCACACCATGCACCGTGTCCTGCACCTGGGGGGAGCTTGTGGTCACTGTCTGCTGCCACCCTTGGGCAGCAAGAAGCCCATGACTGAAGTGGGGACTACTGGGGCTGCCCCCATCCCTGGTTCTGTCTTCAGGGAGCACTATCAACCTGGAGCTGGGATCATTCTCATCCCTGGGATCTTAAATCTCTCCTGGGCTTGTGTGGGCCACAATATACTCAGCCTAGAAAGACCAGGGGTACCACAGCAACAGCCACCCTCCTCCTCCCCAGGGCCTTCAATTCCCATTTTGGAATTGCAGTGACATTTATGTCCCCCTGCACATCTGGGGCTTTCTTCTAGCCAGTCCCCTGGGGTTGAACTTGCAAAAACTGAGGCATGGGGTGGGGAAAGCTCTTGCCCATGTGAGCCCATTTCTCATGGATGCTGGGGGGTGCCACTTACCAGCCGGATCTTGTCAGCAGAACGGCAAACATCTGGCCCGTCGTAAACTATCTTCTGGAGGCTGCAGGAGGCTTTCACCAGGCACTTGGGCCCAGGGTTGCTGTTGTTGGAGGAAAAGTTGGCCTTGCAGTCTGGCAGTGGCTGCTGCACCATGGGACGGACGGTGGCTGTGGTGACCTGGCGGGACGCTGGCACCTCCTCAGGGCTTTTAGCCTCCTTGAAAAACTTCTCATACTTGTCCAGATAGGCAGGGCGCTCGGGCAGCAGGTAGTAGTGGGTACTGCTGACCTTCTGCCCATCCTTCACGATGGGCAGGATGCAGGGTCCCTTGGAGGAGTCCTTGCCCTGCGCCTGGATGACCTTGGGGGTGGCGTACTTAGGGTCGAGGGCGAAGCTCTGTGTGGTGGGCATGGGCTTCCCTGGTGAGGTGGAGAGGCAGGAGCAGAGGGCAGCACGTTGCTGGGGGGAGCCCACCTGCAGAGCCATGGGGCTGGGTGTCCGGGAGGTGGGCTGGGACAGAGGGTCCCGTGGGGGGATCTGGGGCGGCCGGTCTTCCTCACCCCCCGAAGCTGGGGAAAGGTCCCCTGACCAGCGCCCAGGCTCATTGCGGCGAAGGGGCCGAGGCGGGATTGGGACACGGGGAGGGATCTGGGGCTTGTCGTCAGCTGGTGCAGCCGGTCCCAAAGGGACATTGAGCCTCTTCATGCACTCCTGCTGCAGCTCCTCGAAGAGCTCGGTGGTCTGTGTCATGCTGGGCTGTTTGGGCTCCTTGGGGGGCAGGAAGAGGTTGTCTTCCAGTACTGGTCCCCGCTCACCCTCATCCACAAATCCATAGTTGGTCTTGCCCCGTCGGCTCGGGGGGCTGGTGATAGAGCAGACCTCAATATCGTCCTCATCCTGTGCCACGTCATCATAGGCAGGCGGTGGGGGCAAGGGCCGGGCATCCCAGTCCACCACTGGCGTGGGGTGGAGAGGCCGAGGTAGAGCCCGTGTGGGGCTCTGTGGTGGGGTCTTGTCCAGCAAAGAGCAGGCCTCCATGGCCAGCTTGGCTAATGACGGGGCTGTCAGCTCCCCCACTGGAGAGGGGCTACCCTGGGGCACTTCCTCCCCAAAGTCAATGAGGGTCACCTCGCTGCTTGCTGGCCCCTCGCTTGCCAGCCGTCCGGGCTGCCGCTCGCCCACCTTGGTGCCCGGTACCCGTGCTGATGGCTTGACTGGCCGCAGACCCTTTCCTGTGCCCGGCTTCTTCAGGCAGAGCTTCCGGAGACCCCCTGGCAGACCCTCCTCCTCCTCACTAACGGGGTCATAGCAAGGCTCTGGAAGGGGACAAAGAGGGATGGTGAGGGTACCATCACTCTCAAGGGTGCAAGAAGGGGCATCTGTATCTCCAAGCCCCCAAAACACCCCATAGTTTCAGCCCTCTTTGCTCCCAAAGCATACCAGGGCACCTGCCCCAGGCCATTCAGGTAAGAGAGAAAAGAAAGAGGCTGTGAAGAAGGAAGAGCAGCACCCAAAGAAGCCGAACTTACTGGTGAGCAGGACGGTAGGCTGAGGTGGGCGTGGAGGAGGCTGCCCTGCAGAGGAGAGAACCCAAGAGAAGGGGAAGCATAGGGTGAACACAGA